AGTCTCACCATGTTTCGTATTTTTCTTCTTCATAGTCGTCAAACCTTTTTTGTTTTGCTAATTTTACGTAAAATTGATTAAAATGTTTAAATAAGGTGACATATTGTTTCTTTGACTGGATAATATAGCAGTCTATTACGTTCACCCGTCCATCGTGACAAACTGCACGTCAATTTCGGTTATTGCCTCTGTAAAAACCGGTATTAGGAACCCGAATATCAGTGAAACCATCTCAGATAAAGATGGGCATATTATTCATTCTCAATCCAGGAGATCGGATCGATGGGCAGAACACTTTAGGGATCAGTTCAACTGGCCTTCAGCCACACTTCAATTACCCACGATCCCCAGTCGTCCTGAATGGCAAATTGATGTAAGTCCTCCAACCCTCTGTGAGGTTGAAAAAGCTATAGGAAATCTGAAGCGAGGGAGAGCAGCAGGCCCTGACAGGTTGACCCCTGAGATTTTTAAGGATGGTGGTCCAGTACTAGCAGTGAGATTGACTGAGGTCTTAGGTAGAATCTGGGAACTGGTCGTAATTCCATCTGACTGGTCCCAATCACTGATTGTGCCAGTCTATAAGAAAGGACAAAAGTCCTCTTGTGACAATCACAGAGGGATCAGTTTGACTAATATAGTGTCTAAAATATTAGCTTCAATAATACTAGGTCGCCTAACCAAAGCTCGTGAAGAGCAGACTAGAGAAAACCAAGCTGGTTTTCGACCTGGACGTGGTTGCATAGACCAGATATTCACCCTACGTCAGGTTCTAGAACATAGACACAAATTCAGACGTCCCACAATAGTAATATTTCTTGACCTTAAGGCGGCATTTGACTCCGTTGATCGTGAGGTTCTATGGCAATGTTTGTCACTGAAAGGAGTACCAAAGAAGTACATTAACCTCATAAAGGCTCTCTACTCGAACACAACTGGTCGAGTTAGAGCCTTTGGCGAACTGTCTTCAGAACTGATTACCACAAGTGGCGTTCGTCAGGGCTGTCCACTCTCCCCATTCTTGTTTAACTTTGTAATTGGCATACTTTTAGAGATAGCACTTTCATCAGCTAAACCTCCAGGAGTTGAACTTTTACCAGGAGGCTCACTTGTTGACTTCGAATACGCCGACGACATAGTTTTACTCGGTGAAGACGCTGACAACATGCAGAGTCTTCTGACCACTATAAGCAACTATGCAGACATGTTCGGAATGCGATTCTCTCCCTCGAAGTGCAAAATGTTACTTCAGGATTGGGTTGCATTGACACCTGAACTAATGATAGGGAGTGAAGTAGTTGAGCGTGTAGACCACTTATCTTGGGAGTCTCATCAGCCCTTGTGGTCTGGTATGTGACGAAATCTCAGCACGGATACAGAAGGCTCGTCTAGCTTTCGCCAACTTGCGTCATTTATGGCGTAGGCGAGATATCCGTCTAGCAACCAAAGGACGGGTTTACTGTGCAGCAGTTCGCTCCGTCCTACTCTATGGCAGTGAAACATGGCCAATAAGAGTAGAGGATATTCGTAGGCTACTAGTGTTCGATCATAGGTGTCTTCGAAGCATTGCTCGTATATCCTGGGACCACCGGGTAAGTAATGCAGTTGTTAGGAAACGAGTACTAGGTAGGGATGGCAAATCGATTGATGAAGTATTTATTTATTTATCTAAACACATATATATTGGTACTAAAGGGCACCAGGTACATATGCGCCACACAAAATAATGAAAGTAGGAAGAGAAGGGATGAAAAGATAAGGCGGACTAAAATGTACAACCAGAAGACTCTTTCAAATAGGAAAGTAAGAACCATTCTTTATGTAGAAAGTAAAAGAAGGTTGCAGCAGGATCGCCACTGGTTTCTATTCTGAGCCATATCTGATAACGTCTCTAGCCACTGTGTTGCACCATCTCTCGGACCCCAACCAAGGAGTCGTGAAGGACCAACAGAAGCTGGCCCTTTGCAGCTCTCTTTCATGCCACGACACCATGTCATACACTGACCTCCTCTCCGCTTTTTCCAACCAGTCCCAGGGTCGGCAAATAATGCACGACGTGGAAGTCTCTGGGACGACATTCGTAAAACATGTCCAAGCCACCGAAGTCGGTGTTTCAAGATGGTGACACCAATTGAATTATCGTCTTTGTGCCCGAACACACGATGCCGAACCTCTGCATTACTAACATGGTGTTGCCACTGTATGTCAGCAATCCTTCGGAGACAACGATGATCGAACACAGAGAGACGTCTAACATCCTCAACTCGGAGAGGCCAGGTTTCACAAGCATAGAGCAAAACTGCTCTCACCGACGCGTTGTAGATCCGACCTTTTACAGCCAGACTAACATGACAAAGGCGCCAAAGATGGCCCAGATTGGCATAAGCCGCTCTGGCTTTCATTATACGTGCATCAATTTCATCACTCACGCCACCACCAGCACTTATATAGCTACCTAGATACACGAACTTCTCAACTACTTCGATCTGCTCACCATCCAGGGTGAGTACAGGATTAGAATCCTGCCAGTCTTGTAGAAGTACTTTGCACTTGGAGGGTGCAAAGCACATGCCGTACCTGCGGACACTGATTGCCAACTGATTAAGTGCTGATTGCATGCCTTGGGCATTATCGCACAGTAAGACAATATCATCCGCATACTCAAGGTCGAGAAGTCGTTCTCCAGGCAACATATCCACACCGCCATTACTTACATCCATCAGAGCTGTTTCCAAGATGTCGTCGATGGCAAAGTTGAAGAGGAATGGTGAGATCGGGCAACCCTACCTAACCCCACTGCTCGAATGGAACAAGGGAGAAAGGTGGTTGTATGCCCTCACTCTGCCTGAGGTGTTCGTGTACAGGGCCTTTAAGATGTTAATGAACTTCTCAGGCACACCCTTCTTCAATAGACAATCCCAGAGAACAGTCCTGTCCAACGAATCGAAGGCAGCCCTGATATCAAGAAACACTACGATTGTTGGCCTGCGATAAGTATGACGGTGTTCTAACATTTGGCGGAGGGTGAAGATGTGATCAATGCATCCTCGACCAGAACGAAAACCAGCCTGCTCCTCGCGAGTCAATCGTTCTCGGGTTTTAAACAACCTACGAAGAATGATAGAAGCCAATAGTTTGGACGCAATCGGAAGTAGACTTATCCCCCGATAGTTATTGCAGGAACAACGCGAACCCTTTTTAAAGATAGGGACGACTATTGACTCATTCCATGATGTTGGAACACTTTCTTGCTCCCAAACCTTTCCAAACAACACAGTCAATTCCTTAGTCAGAAAGTCGCCACCATCTTTAAAAAGAGCCGGAGGTAAGTCATCTGGGCCAGGTGATTTGTAGCGCTTCAAGAGTTGGAGTTCCTTGCGGACTTCCGCCTCGTTTGGTGGATCAGTCGTCACCGGCCATGGGGGGCAGGACAAGCTGGTTGATGTTGCCGGAGCAGCAGGCCAGTTGAACTGCCCTTCGAAAAATTCCGCCCATCGTCCAAGAAGTCGGGAGATGTTAGTGATTGGCATCCCATCATCCTCGTAGATTGTTTCACTCACACCAAACTTCTTGCTGCCAGTGGCTCGGATGAGTTGGAAGAGCTTCCGGCAGTTACCAGATGCAGCTGCTGCTTCCATCTCATTAGCACGCTCCGACCACCAGGCTTCCCGGTCCTTACGCAAGCTTTGTTCAATTTCATTACGTAACAGCCTTCGTTTGTGGTCAAACTTACGGTCACCCGGAGTAGACCGACGGGCTTCCATCAGTTGTAAGGAGCCAGAAGAAACCCAGTGCTTGTAAGCGGGACGTTTCGCGAAGCCGCAAGCGGCTTTACTCGCCATTTTCATGGCGTCGTGAAGATGCAACCAATGCTCATCTATACTTTTCGGTGGGGTGTTAGTTAGCCTAGAGGCTAGCTCCGCTCGGTACTTACTTGCAACAGGAGTTGCAGCCAGTTTACTAATATCAATCCGTTGGTGGTGGTCAATCCTTCGGCCACTGAAAAGTAAGGTGAGATTGGCGCAGACCAGGGCATGATCAGACTCCAGATAGGTACTCCAAAAGGAGCGGCAGTCTTGTACACAACCACGCCAGCGGTAGCTGATCGCGATGTGATCAATCTGAGTCCAGGCTTGGGATGCAGAGGGAAGACGCCAGGTGGCAAACCGGCGATGACTGTGCCGGAAGTTAGTGCTAGTCAGAAACAGGTTGTGGTCTGTGCACAGTTGCAGCAAACGGTCCCCGTTATCTGTCCTGCGACCAACAAGTCCCCATCGGCCACCTAGACGACTCTCTTCTGTGCCTAGACGCCCGACCTGTGCATTCAAGTCTCCGGCTAGTACTACAATATCTGTCGAACGCGCTTTCTGGAGAATTGTTAACTGATGGCAAAACTCATCCTTGATTGCATCCGGGCTGCAATCTGTCGGGGCATAGGCGGAGATGACGAAAAGACACCGTTTCTCACGCCGGTTTCTTCTCACTTTGATGGAACTTTCTAATCTAACAGCACATAACCGACTGTTAATGGGGAACCAATCGATTAGTGCTGCCTCAGCCCTAGCGCTTAGTGCGACACCAACGCCAGCAAGACCAGACGAAGATGCCACAGGGTCCCCGGATAAGCGCACGTGGAACAAGCTTTTCGAGGAGATAGATGGAGAGCGGATTTGTAGTACTTCACTAGAGTCTTGAATGCGGGTCTCGGATAGACAGCAAACATCAACATTAAGACCTTCCAAAGACATAGCCAGCCCTATCTGTTGTCTGATCTGCATTAGTGTGCGAACGTTGAAGGAAGCCAGCTTGAACGGCGTACGTGGTTTCAGAAAGACTGCCTCAGTATTCATAATCGGTGGAAGCATTCACTTTCAACCAGACAGTGACTGGAGATCGTTTAGATAGGACAGATTTTCCACCAAGAGCGAGCTGCTGCATAAGTTGAAGAGTAAGGTTACACAAATTGGGGTAAAAGGGGGTGAATTAGCGATATGGTAAGTAATAATAATAATAATAATAATAATAAAGGTAATAATAATAATGTTAATTGTCTTGCTTATAATATGAGCAGGAATAGAATCGTCAATAGAGTTCGTCATTTCATTCATTTGTGTGTGGGCTGTGATACTGCCCGGGTGCCCGAAGCAGGTGGTTTTCTTAGGGGGCCACACCCGGAGCCTTTGACCTAAAGGCCTGATCCACAAGGCAGTGGAGCATCGTGAGGAGATGCAGTCCCATGGTAGTCGTTGACCAATGACAGGTTCTTCCGCCATTCGTTCCATCAGGAGACTGGAGCCCATGTGCACCATTGGTTTGGAATCAGGGTTTTCCAACTCCCCTAGGTGGACCCTCCGTGTCCACCAATCCGGTTATAGCGCCGGACATTCGCTTTTCGTCCTCTCACTTTCGCAAACAACACCCCCGCCACGAGAAGGCAGTGAGTAGGACTTCCCTGGCAGAGGCTATATATTCGCTGGCCATATGAGAGCATTTCGAGAGGGAGAGTAGACTCTCCCCACTCTCGGCCGTACCAGGGCATTTGGGGGCGATTGATGAAGTAGTGAAACTTCATCAGTTGAGATGGCTGGGACATGTGTTACGTATGCCCGACCACCGACTGCCCCGACGTGCAATGTTTCATGGTGTAGGAGTAGGTTGGAAGAAAGCTATGGGCGGCCAGACCAAAACGTGGCACAAATCAATGAAGTCACTGACAAGTGGACTGGGCCATGTTGGTAGGTGTAGACTACCTGGTTGGGATTCGCGAGATGACAGCAACCGATGGTTAGAGACCTTGAATGACATGGCTCAAAATCGTTTGCAATGGCGAAGATGCATCCACTCTTTGTGTTCTACCAAATTCTAATCTTCTGAATTCCTCATGTCTTTATGTTTTTCTCTTTCCAAATTTATTTCACTGTACTATACTCCTTCAATAATTTCTTCCAACCCTAATATTTTGGATTTCTGATTATACTCCTACTACTTCTACCACTATGGGATTTGAATCGACAACTGCATCTCTGTGCTAATGTGGTATGGCAACTCGAACTGATGTACGTACGTACGAAGTTCTACGTTGTGACTGACTGACTGATTGCCTCTGTAAAATTATTCTGTTTTGTACTAAACAGTATCTTGTCTAACGTTTTTAAAAATGCTTAACGTCTCCCTATGACTCAAGTATTTATCTTCAAAGTTGTTTTGTAACCAACGTGTATCAATGGTTAAAAGATGAAACTGTCTCTTGATGGTTGTATATTATAGTTGGGCTTTTCTAGAATAACAAAACACGATAGTCTGTATTTGTGTGGATGTTCTTTTCTTTTGTTTGTAGTGCTTGCCAGCAAGGAATTATGATAGATTTTAGTGGCATTTCTTAAAACATTGAAACGTTAACATCTTCAATGAATTTGTCATCAGTTTTGATAACTTTCTTAGCATGCTCGCCTACTCTTGGATTTTCGATGCTGTCTTATGAATATGTTTCTTCTGTTGTCGAAACAGGTAATTGAACATTTTTAAAAAATAATTTTTTAATGTTTTCTTGGTCAGGTGAGCTTAACAGTCTTTAGGTCTATTTTTAGTAACGTGGCTAACTATTAATTGTTGCCCACATCATGGTCTAAGAAGTATACAAATACCAAATGTCTACTTGATAGTTTTACTTAAACGATATCAAGTTTCATACTTAGAGTCCTGGCTTTTCGTAAATTTGTATGAGTTCATTTAGGACTTCAAAAAATGGTTTTTTGAAAGCACTTTAATGCCTCACTCGTGTTTATCAAAATTTACTGTCTGTCGCACTGTGATGAGGAAAAAATATTGATGAGATGGAGCTTTATCATGTTTTAGTAGACAAAAGTCTTATCTAATTTTAGTTATAGGGAAGGCTTTTAATGATTGGTGAAACAGTGTTCGGGTATCAAATGTTAATAGATAGATAAACGCAGTGATCTAACATGTGGGCGGGTGATGGCTGCTCACGAGACAGTGTTATTGACTTGGTACTTCAAATGATTTTAAATGATAAACAACAGCGCTAGCTATAATACTAGATTATCTGGTGCAACAGCCCACTTACATAGAAAGCTTTAATATAAAATTTAATATGATAAAATATCCTGGGTTGTTGGATTAAATAAGTTCGTAGGCCACTTATCCTGTCAATTGGAACCTAACTATCAGGAGTGATTTTCAGACAGTGCATCACCTACATAAAGTCAACACGATAAAAAAATGATTTTCAGAGGCGACTGAAGGTCACTTGTAGACCATTCACTTGAAAGCCCCCAAATACCCCGGTATGACCGAGAGTGGGGAGAGTCAGACACGTGCATACAACCACTGCCCTGGGAGTCCTACTCATGGCCTTCTCGCGGCACGAAATTGAGAGGACGATAAGCGATTCTCGGCGATTTAATCGGATTGGTGGACACGGAGAGTACCTAGGGGAGTTGGAAAACCTTCATTCCAAACCAATGGTGCACATGGGCTCCAGGATCCTAAGAAAACAAATGAAGTATGAACCAATTACTTGCCACCGGTTACCATGGGACTGCATCTTCCTACGTTGCTCCACTGCCTTATGGGTTAGACCTTTAGGTCAAAAGCTCCGAGTGCGGTGCCCTAAAAAAACCACCTGCCCTCACATAAATCTATTGATTTATTTGCCGCATGTGTATTCGGTGCCTCCTTGCACCAATGTTTATGTATTTAAATAAATGATAAATAACTCACTTGAAGACATAAATATGAAGTCTTATTTCTATTCATCTTACTTTCCGTTTCCGCGAATGGTTGTTGGTGTTTTGGAATGATACTTTCAGGGTTTCAACCTTTATAGTGTTAGCTTACCGTATCCTGATGGAATCCATATAATTCTCACTTTTTCAGGCTTCAGTAATAAAATTTACTGGCTATTTAGTACTGTTTATGCTTAATTTTCTCTCTTATTTTTGCAATAAATTTAAATCGTTGAAGAATTCGAAGGCCTATTAGAAGAATATCTGGGTTGGGCAACTTGCTTTAAACTATTGTTTCGTGGCGATACTCGTTGAAAAGACAATGATATTTACTGAAAATAAAATGATGTAGTTCTTCAATGTTGAACTGTCTCCTAGATTTTTTGTCTATTTATCAGCTTGATACACAACAACATCTCGTCCTTTATTTTGTCATTATTCTAGCTGCTTTTCAGTTGTTTTTCTGTTTTTTTTGCAAGTTTCCACTTTGGTAGATTAAGAGCCATCATAAGCAGTTCGGTGCTGTAGAGTTGATGTATTTGACTTCCAGTCGTTGAGTCTCTGATATTTACAGAATAGGTGACATCAAATGCTCTCGGTATCATTTATTGGATCACACATTAACGTATATCTAGTGTTGATAATTTTATGATGATTTATCAAACATTTTTCAAGTTTATTATCATCGAATGTAGTCGTTTGTCGATGACTCAGATTCTATGCAGTTGGTTGTAAAGCTGAACTACAAGAGTTTGTTAATGACAAGCATGCAAATCACATTAGTCACGTGGCATATTATATAAAAACATGTTTTCTACGTATAATGAAGTAGAAAATCTCATGAAATAATTATTATTTATTTATTGTATTATGAATAAGTTGATACAGAAAAATATCTTAATTTGTTTGTAGAATCAGATACTTCAGTCTAGCATTAGGAATAATACCTGGGCTTTATAATTAAAATCTGGATATAAGAATTTACGACTGCCGTTTAGGATTCGGTTTCATAATTTAAAGATTGGTATTAGGTTTTACGGCTAGCCTACCTGTACTTTGAATCATAACTCTAACCTTACAACGTTAACTCCTCATCTTAATTCTAAGTTCAAATTCTGAATTCTACATGCTAATTACTAAACTATGTATTCTAGTCTTAATTCTAATCCAAATTCCTGAACTTAACATCCTAATTGTTCTGTATAACCACTAAATCCTGATCTTAGGATCAAAATAATAAATATGAATTTCGATCCCTGGTACTGCCGAGGGTGAGGAGGGCCTCCCTCTCTCGAAATGCTCTAACACTGCCACGCGTATGCAGTCTATGCCAGGGAAGTCCTACTCACTGCCTTCTCGTGGCACCGGTGTTGTGTACGAAATTGAGAGGACAAAAATCGAATGTCTGGCGCTTTAACCGGGTTGGTGGACACGGAAATTCCATCTAGGGGAGTTGAAAAACCCTGATTCCAAACCAATCGTGAACATGGGCTCCAGTATCCTGAGGAAACATATGGCATATCGTTGGTCACCTACTACCAATTGACTGTATCTCCTCACGATGTTCCACTACCTCGTGGATCAGGCCCTTAGGTCAAAGACCCGGGGTGTGGCTTCCTAAGAAAACCACCTGTTTCGGTCTGGACACTCGGACAGTACCATTATCCTCACGCATTTAAATGAAATGACAATTTTTTGTGTGGTGCATATATATCTGGTGCCTCCTCATACCAATGTTTATGTGTTCAAATACTGCATTGTAATTGACTGAATAGATTAGGAGTTTGTCCTGATCATTTTAAGTCACTGGAGCTCACATTTATAGTTTAGCTTTACATATTTAGTACTGACATAACATATTTACGTATTAGTATCATGGCTGAAAAACTATTTTTTCATTATTTGAATCATGAGCATTGTTATTTAAATACATAACACAGTAATTGGAATTTTCTATAGGAATATATTTTTTGAATAAATTTGAGTCCAACCCATTGTTTTTCTAATAAATAAATAGTATATTTAATATATCCATTACTTTTGCTTGTGTCCTAGAATTCATCATCAGCTATTATGAACATTCTTGTGCACAATCTCGTCATCGTTTTCTAAAATCCATACTCAATTCGTTTCCATTGAATTATTCCATAATGGAGAGATGGTATCCACCATCTAATGCGAAGGAGAAAAAAAGTGATTTTGATGTAATCAAGGTAAAATGATTAATTATGTGAATTGATTTACGATTTGTAATTTGTTGTACTGAAGTTCCTCCTTACTCATGGAACAAACAGTATTGTAGGTCTACTTCAAATGCTTTTATTGAACACTGTTTCAAATCACATAATCAATCGAAATCATATCCTAACTGGTTAATAACTGTTACAGTTGATATTCTTACTTCTGATGAAAAGCTCTCATTTTTTATCCTGTAAAACATTTGAAATATAGAAAAAGTTATTCAATGTATATATCACTTTAATCTTACATGTGGATGAGAATCAGGAGTTAATCCGAACGAAATGTGTGAAAATGTTTATTTTCAGAGTAAATAAAGCGGTAGCTCAGTAGTCAAAGCAGTGAACTTTCAGTTAGTAAGCCTTAAATTCGTATTCTATCTTTCCTACACTACTTTTGGCAACTGGGTAGTATAACCAGTCTGGTTTGACTTCAAGTATGTTAATCTATAGCTGATAAGTGAGTTTTATGACTTGGGGGCTTCAGTTTGTGTATATTAGACAATAAATCACTTTACGTCATGAAGAATTAGTTATGAAAGCTATCTGTTTTGATTTAACATTATTTTTATACAGTCCAATGTAACCACTCATGTAAATTGAGGTTGTTAGCTCTTTGAATAATGCTATACACAACCTTATTTAAGTTTTTAGTCATCTTGAGTTAAAATCATATGGTATTTGCTTAACGTCAGCTTCTGTGTACATTCGACTTTCTGCACTCACTTAACTTTTTAGTTATCTCATTCTCCAGGTACTTGGACATGATTCAAAATCTAAGCGTAAGTGCTAGTGATACTAGTCGATTGGCCAAACTTAAGTATGTGGAGCGGAGCTCAAACCCAAGACTAAGTAGCTGAAAGTTGAACGCTTTAACCACTAAGTCGCCGCTCAGTAAACAGAATAAATTAATATGATATATTATCTCGATACATCGAATATTCGGATTTTTGACTAGCATTGAAACTCAAACCCAACAACTTTCACTTCAAGTGACAAAATATTATTTAATTAACTACCGAGTTCAGGAAGCTGCTAACTCGTTCAACAGGTATAATGTTTTTGTTATTATTAGTAACAGTGATACAACTCATAATATTAGTTCTGGGTTTTACGTGGATAAAGAGAACATGACAAATAAATGCTCATCATTCTTCGATGGTCATATTTCTTTCGTTTTTCGAGTTTTCTAATAAGATGTCTATCCAAATGGTTTTGTTATTTATTTAAACACATAAATATTGGTACAGGGAAGCACCAAATGCATGTGCGCCGCACAAATCTCATTCGACTTGTGTGAGGGCTGTGATACTGCCCAGGTGCCCAGACTGAAGCAGGTGGTTTTCTTAGGGGCCACACCCCGAGCCTTTGATCTGAAGGCCTAGTCCACAAGGCAGTGGAGCATCGTAAGAAGATGCAGTCCCATGGTAGCCGGTGACCAGCGATTGGTTCATACGCCATTTGTTTCTTCAGGATACTAGAACCCGGTTAAAGCGCCGGATATTTGGTTTTCGTCCTCTCAATTTCGTAAACAACACTGGTGCCACGAGAATGCAGTGTTTCGGACTTCCCTGTCAGAGGCTATATATTCGCGTGGCCATGTGAGAGCATTTGGAGAGGGAGAGCGGACTCTCCCTAATCTCGGCCATACCAGGGCATTTGGGGGCCCTCTAATTGGTGTTCATACTTAGTATAGTATAAGTTACATAAATTACCTTTATGTTGTACAGATCAGTAGGTCTAACTAGCATGTTATCATGTCATTCCGTATTCGTGCTCACTTTTAAAGCTCAATTCTTAGAGTCTAAATAATCTGAGATTATTTTATGAATTCTAGATATTTAATCTTAGTCGTATGGATGTATCAAATTTTATCCAATACTTATCTAATGTCAGCCAAATAAAATCAGTTTCACCACAAAAACAAATAAATCGTGTTCTTTTAAACTATGGTATAAATGATGGAGAATTTCTGCACAATTGTAAGTTAGTGATATGTTTTCTTTTACTGGTGATTTGTTTAATAATAGAATTGAATTATGAAATGTATGTGGAAGTTGATGATAAGTCCAATTTATCCCACTCTTCATAGAACTGAATGTAGTAAGAGTCCGCTCACTTACTGTGGATGATCTCAAATGAACATGGATTTGTAGCCTTCACTGCCCTTAAGCGAGGGGGTTATATTTTTTACGAAAAGAGTAGAACGAGAAGCGAACGTCTGGCCCTTGTACCTGACTAATAGATACTAAAACTTAACTTAAGGAAGTTAGAAAACACTGATTCTAAACCACTAGTGTACATGGGCTTCTGAGGTATAAGGGAATGGATAATATATTAACCTATTTTGTTCACCGACTGCGGTGGAATGATTTCTTTTGACGTTACTCTCTTGCTTCATGAACTTTAGAATAAAGGTTTCAGGAATAAATGGGCCCCTAAGAATATCTCTTGATTTAGTTTGGACTTTCGAGCACTATCTCACTCCACACACATACAAATATAATAATGATTATTGTTGAAGGATGGTTAAGTGTTCACTGTGTGACTTAAAGTTCTTATGCTAGATATATCTAGTGGAGATGTTTGATGTGCATTGTTGGGATGTCGCATACTTGTAGAACAAAACAGTTTTCTTGTGCTTCTTAATTTTCAGTCGTAATTTAAATGAAATCAATTATATTACAAGTATTCCTTACTGATTCAAGTCTTTTTTCAACAAACAGTTTGAGTGCGAAACGGTGACCAGTGAAGTTCAATCTTTATCAGGTATGAGACAGTTATTCACCGCAGAGAACTCGTGAAGGGTTGTGCAAGATTATGGATTAATTGAAGTTAGACATTAATACTACTGGGTACTGGCTCATTGTTCTACAGGTTAAGTGTTCACACTGTAAACCCAAGACCCTGAGTTCGATTCCCGCGTGCGGGTTTGTAGACCTACATCTCTGACGAGTCCCACAATAGAACAAAACGGCCATCCAGTGTTTTTAAGTTTACACTGTGGTCTAGCTAAGATCAGTTTGTGATTTAAACAGTTTAAAACAAAAAATCGTATATGACAAGTTGATCAAAGGCAATCACGAGAAAAGTGAACTTATCAAAAATGGTAACCCATCTTTTTGGAATCACTGGTTTCTAGAAATGTTGGTTATGTTACATATACCATTATGAATTCACTTTGTATACCTACTTTAAATGATAATGTAACTAATGTGTATATACTATAAACAATTGATTGTTTACACGACATCCTTCTTCCATTTCCAATCTGCCAACCAGAACACCGGAAAAGTTAAATAATGTACTTTGTACTATTTAGTCTTAAAAAAAATTGCATAATTATTATGGATTTATAAGAATACTACCATATACAATAAATAAAAAGTCTTAAAATCTATACTGAGCTAGGTTATTTGTTGTACATTAAAACTGACTGACAGTTATGTCTGGATGACCTGTTGACGTATGATGTGATAAGGCCGCCAATTAGAGAGCAGTGAATTTACTGATCGGATCAATGATACACGGAAACCTATGTGAGCAGTCTCGAGTACTTATCGGTCCTGCTATCTGCCTAGCCTAGCCCAGCCAGTTAAGTCCAGAACACCAATAACAGCCTCTGCAATATAAATCATTATTCTCAAAAATACTGGGTTTATATACCAAACAAACTGACGACGTCGTACCATAAAGTAGAAAATAACATTTGTACAAGATTTGACCGAATGTGGCTGTGAATACTTTACTTTTTTACTTACTTACGCCTGTTACTCCCAATGGAGCATAGGCCGCCGACCAGCTTTCTCCAACCCACTCTGTCCTGGGCCTTCTTTTCTAGTTCTTTCCAGTTCTTGTTCATTCTTCTCATGTCTGTCTCTATTTCTCGGCGTAATGTGTTCTTTGGTCTTCCTCTTCTCCTTTGACCTTCAGGATTCCATGTGAGGGCTTGTCTTGTGACGCAATTAGCTGATTTCCTCAAGGTCTGCACAATCCACTTCCAGCGCTTCTTCCTGATTTCTTCCTCTGCTGGAATCTGGTTTGTTGTCTCCCACAGTAACTTGTTGCTGATAGTGTCTGGCCATCTGATCCGAAGTATCTTGCGTAGACAGCTGTTAATAAACACTTGTATCTTCTGGATAATGGCTTTCGTAGTTCTCCACGTCTCCGCCCCATACAGTAGAACTGTCTTGACATTTGTATTGAAAATTCTAACCTTGGTGTTGGTTGACAATTGTTTTGAGCTCCAGATGTATTTCAGTTGTAGGTATGCTGCTCTTGCTTTGCCGATCCGCGCCCTCACATCTGCATCTGATCCATCGTGTTCATCAATGATGCTGCCCAGATATGTAAAGGTTTCCACATCCTCCAAAGCTTCTCCGTCAAGTGTAATTTGATTGGTGCATATTGTATTGTATCGGAGAATCTTGCTTTTCTCTTTGTTTATATTGAGACCTACTGCTGCTGAGGCTGCTGCTACACTGGTCGTTTTCTCCTGCATTTGTTGTTGCGTTTGTGATAGAAGAGCCAGATCATCCGCGAAGTCTAAATCGTCAAGCTGCATCCTGCCTGTCCACTGTATCCCGTGCATTCCTCCAGATGTTGACGTCTTCATAATCCAGTCGATGACCAGGAGAAAGAGAAAGGGTGAGAGTAAGCAACCTTGTCTAACACCGGTCTTTACCTCGAACGAGTCGGTGAGTTGTCCTCCGTGGACGATTTGGCAGTTCGTCCATCATAGAAGTTCCGTATGATGTTGACTATCTTCTCAGGCACGCCGTAGTGTCGAAGAAGCTTCCATAGTGTTGTCCTGTCCACGCTATCAAATGCCTTCTCGTAGTCGATGAAGTTGACGTACAGTGATGAATTCCATTCGATTGATTGTCCCACAATGATACGTAGAGTTGAGATTTGATCTGTGCACGATCTATCTTTACGAAATCCAGCTTGTTGATCTCGAAGTTGAGCGTCCACGGAATCCTTCATCCTGTTTAAGAATACTCTGTTGAAGACTTTTCCTGGTATTGAGAGGAGAGTGATGCCCCTGTAGTTGTCGCACTTGCTAAGATCGCCTTTCTTTGGTATCTTGATCAGAAGTCCTTCTTTCCAGTCTGTTGGTACATGTGGCTGTGAATAGGGGGAACAGTATTTAATAGACTGGGTATAACTCAGGAATGGTAAACCGTACAGTAATAGTCTATGGGTCAAAATAATGCTCATAATAAAAGGAACATGAGTATGAATAGTTAAGTTACTTAGCAATTATACAATAGGAAATATACATATCATATTGGTCCATAAATAGTCCCCAAAGTTACCATTCCTAATTCTGCACGGCATATAACAATTTATTGGTGTTTTTTTTAGAGAATAGCTTCCGTTTTCATCTTTACCTCTTATTTAGTCATTTCTAATGTCTACGTAAATATTTCAACTTAAAAAGTAATGTCATCATCAAATGAAATTTTCTGTAGCTGTAAGTTTCGCGGCACTTCATTGAGGGGAATTTCCAAAAATTCTAAAAGGAAACCATTAATTATATGTTAACCAATTAGATGGTTTTATCGACTGCATTGTAAGTGATGTGATGTCAGTGGAAACTAACATCTTGTATTATATTTGAGGTCCATATGATTAACCTGTTTATTCTGACGAACAGTTGTATAATCTAATCTCTCTCTAGTCCGAATGTTGATTATTGTACTTAAATTGCCTATGTATAACCGATGACCTACTGCTAACCTATAACACAATAACCTCCACTTGACTACTAACTCAATGACAATTAAGTCAATACTTAACGTCTATAGTAGGTCTAGGACTCAGTCTTCTCACGCCTACTTCCTAGAACAGATTTTAACACAATATATAAATAAATTCTGTTTGTAAAGTCTAATTTTACGAATGGAGAACCGTTTGAATCATTCATGTAACATATAACATTTGCTCAAATTATGGACACACATCATAGATCTTTGAAATGGTTTGCAGGCCAATCTAACAAACTAAAGGTATCAAATTGTCAAAATAGATATAAGTATGTCAAAGTTAATTCATCATTGTGTTGGCGCCCGTTATCCAGCTCTCTTAAGTGGGATAAATACACCTGTTCTAGTTTATGTACAATAAATCACACACAAATAAAAACATTATAATATATAGACATGAGTATCCTATGAATGAAGGAGAATTCAGTTATGGGTCCATATTTGAATAATAATAACTGAAGTAGTTATTTAATGAATCATTCGAAAGCTTACTGCTAGAGCAACTCAAAAATACAACAAATCAAGTGTTTAGTAATTATTACAATAAAATTGATAATTCTTCGTAAGATAGTCTTGAGAGTTACAACCTACGCAATATCTGCCATTATTATAACAGCGTTTGACACTATTCATTTAAAAGAAAACGTTTGTGGTAAAAAGGCATTTATAATTTTATTTATTTAAACACATAAATATTGGTACAAAGGGGCACCAGACATATATGCGCCACACAAATCTCGTTTGATTCGTATGATGGCTGTGATACTGCCCAGGTGCACAAACTGAAGCAGGTGGTTTTCTTAGGGGGCCACACCCAGAGCCTTTGACCTAAAGGTCTGATCCATAAGGCAGTGGAGCATCGTAAGGAGATGCTTGACTGATCGGTAGCGTGATCATCCGATGATCATTAAGATCTTTCTTCACAAACATAACCAAGGCCGTCCAGTGCTTCCAAGTTTTCCTTAGTGGTCTAGCTTCAATTGACTCACGCTTGCGGTTTTGAAAGCACAACAACATTTTCGTGCAACTTTTTTATGATATCTACATTATTTGAAAGAATATAGTTAATGTATTGAAATCGTTCAACACTTTCCATTAGAGAAATTTAATGTAAAATTTATAATCAATTGTGAAAATAAAAATTGTTTTGAGATCAGAGGGGGTTTTGTGGAGAATTTGGTATTTTCAAAGTTGAAATCATGGGTCGATTGAAGTTAGACCACCATCGAAAACCTGGAAGCACTGGACGGCCGTTTCGTCCTATTATGGGACTCCTCAGTCTGTTGTAGAGATATTAACTCACTGAAGACAATTGGTGGACGGTCGCTCAAAATCGTGGATCGGTTGAAGTTAGACATTAACACCGTTGGATGCCGGCTCAGTGGTCTATCGGTTAAGGGCTCCGGCTCGAAACTGGTAGGTCCTGGGTTCGAATCTTGCGAGTGCGGGATCGTGGATGTGCACTACTGAGGAGTCCCATAATAGGACGAAACGGCCATCCAGTGCTTCCAGGTTTTCGATGGTGGTTCAGCTTCAATTGACTCATGATTTCAACTATAAAAATTGTTTCGTCGTTTCGTATACGAATGCAAAATACTGAAGGTATAACTGATTCTAAACGAAAGATAGTAATTTGGTTATTGAAATTGTAATTCTTCATTAATTGAACTGTTTCACTTATACCTAGTCATCGTCTGTACCAATGAATATTGTTTACTAGTGTAAGTTACAAAAAATCAAGAGTCTTACAAAGGTGTGTGACATTAATCTATTGTGTCTTTGTATGTTGATCTGATCTGAAATCCTGACTACCTGGCATGGATCTCCTCAGGAATTGCGATTGTTCATCTTTTCATCAAGAAATTAATTTTATTTTAGGAATTTTTTTATTTTTTTGTTTTGTGAACATGTGATCCACCCCAAAAAAAGATACATGTAGTTTATCTTGGATTCATTGATATTGCATAATTTCGATTACTTTTTAGCCAGTCGTCTAGATTCAAGAAGAAATTTGAAACTGGTAAGTGTTTGTTTTTTAAAACTGATAATTACTTTAAATTCACTTAGTATTGTTTGTTTGAATCTTCCCATTGATGTTTTTAGGACTGCAACTGGTCAGTCTCTAATTGGCATATGTGCATACTATGCGTATTGCCTCGATATAGCCTAAATTCACAATCATGGTAAGCAAAACTACTGGGTTCGAGTCCCGAAGTGAACATCAACTCTGAGATGCAGGTACATCCAGCTGATGAGTCCCAAATAGGACGAAAAGCGCGTCAAACTGGATTCCACTGCAAGCCACTATCCATCTTTGCTTACCATGATAATCACTTTGTTTATATCATTATATCTGGATATATTATACACATATATTTATTATCTCTGTATTCTTTTGGGTTATTAGATACAATGAGTAGTTGAATGAATATCAACAGTTTTAATGCATAGTCCTATTTTGATTGACTGAAATCACATAAATCTCATTTCATTAACGAAAATACAAATGCCTACAATTTTGTATCTTTTGTTATAATAGTAATAACAATAATAGTAATTAATAATAATAATAATAATAATAATAAACACGAGAAAGCTAGGAGTACTAGTAACTGGTATTTCCTGGAGTTTTAGTGAGAAACAGTGACCAGTGTAGTTCAATCGGGTTTGTTGTGAGATAGTAACTCATTGAAGACAATGGTGGATGGTTGCTCAATTTCGTACATTGGTTGAGGTTAGACAATAACACCGTTGGATGCCAGCTCAGTGGTCTAAAGGTTAAGTGTTCTCGCGTGAGACTGATAGGTCCTGGGTCCGAATCTTGCGAGGCGGGATTGTGGATGCGCACTGTTGATGAATCCCACAATAGAACGAGACGGCTACCCAGTGCTGGCATGGTAGTCCAGCTTCAATTAACTCATGAATTCAACTATAAAATTGCTAAAATCTCCACAAAACCCCTTCTGATAAAGGTGGTTACTTCTAAAGTATATTTTATAATTCTTTATTTGTCAGTAAGGGGTTGTGGAGATTGTTGGATTTCAGTGAAATCATAAACCGATCTAGGTTAGACCATCATAAGAAACCTGAAAGCATCAAATGGCCGTTTCGTCCTAGTATGAGACTCTTCAGTAATGCGCATTCACAACCTCGCTTGCGGTTATAGAACCCATAAACTTCGTGTTCTCTATATTGTTGACAAATATTTTCTGGGATATTGATAGTTTGTCAAATGGTTGTAGGTAATCGACAGGAAACTCTCCTAGACCTATGGTTTGTGCTAGTTAGCACTCACCATCATGGCATGCTTGTGATTAGAAAGAATGTTCTGTTCTCTGGAGAAACCAATGTCATTTCGCCTAGTTTCTCAGGGTCAGGCGTTATCACTGAGCTATTTGAATAGTGACTGATCTATTGTAGAAATGAGATATTTTCAATATGGCCAAACTAATCTAATTGGCTCGATATTATTTGCAACGTATTAGAATGTTAATGTTTATTTTATATTCAACATAAGTAATCCATTTTGTTATTACTATAACTTCTTTTTTTTCCTGATATACATCAGTTTGGCAATTCACAGAGATATTCTCCTGGAACTTTACCATTAGATCCGTTAAAACAGGTAATCTCTGCTGTTATTATTCCTTTAAAAATCCACATCATATGACAATAATAATAATAATTCTTTCTTCATAAATTTACAGAATACAATGCGAAAGCGAAGTTTATAGGAACCGCGTTGTGTCATATTAGCGTAATACGTTCCAAATAACAATCTGATCATACGTATTTATGCAAACTTAAGTGTCATATTAGACGAATTGAAATATCCAAGAATCAAGATAAATCACTTCACCTTGGACATTTATTTATTTATTTATTTAAACACATAAATATTGGTACAAGGAAGCACCAGATAAAAATGCGCCTCACAAATCTCATTCGATTTGTGTGAGGGCTGTGATACCGCCCAGGTGCCCAGACTGAAACAGGTGGTTTTCTTAGGGGACCACACCCGGAGCCTTTGACCGAAAGATCTGATCCACAAGGTAGTGGAGCATCGTGAGGAGATGCAGTCCCATAGTAGCCGGTGATCAACGATTGATTCGTACGCCATTCGTTCCTTCAGGATCCTGGAGCCCATGTGCACCATTGGTTTGGAATCAGAGTTTTCAACTCCCCTAGGTGGACTCGCTTTGTCCACCAACCCGGTTAAAGCACCGGACATTCGCTTTTCGTCATCTCACTTTTGTGAACAACACTCCTGCCTTCTGGACATTCAGAATCGATATTAGCAGTGTGTTTTTGAATACACTGAAAAGCCTAATTTAAACCTACGTATGGCTGAAACTTAAAAAGAAACCCTAAGTATTTTGTTCTAGACAACTTTTGTATAAAGTCTAAATGGTAGAATCAAGATCGATCTCATATTAAGCCAATATATCACATTATTTTAATAAACCTCATCTTCTATTATGTCGGTCAGTCGTCCTGTTGGAATACTGATATACACATTACGCATATGCGAGGCTGACTTCTAACATAAGTAAGAAGAATAAGAATTACTAGGAATTTGTATTGCCGAAGCGAATTAAAATACACAGAAATTCATTGGTATATATGCATATATACCCTGAAAAATTAAGCCAACTGTCGACCAACAGCTAGCATCCATAAATACCTCTCAGCTTTGAACTAATACGTACACACAGGCCCATGTTCTATTACAACTGCCTAACCTGTTATCTTTTAATTAGATTATTTAATTTAGTACGTTTTTTTTCAAGATCTTTAAAGAATTCTTCATGTTTATCCTTGTATGATTAGCCATGGAAACTGTTACAGGCGGAATATGCTTGGTCTCGTGGTTTGTGCGGTAATGGTGTTCGTGTGGGCATATTTGATACAGGATTGGCACCATCTGATCATAAACACTTTTCATTAAGTAATATTATTGAAAGAACTGATTGGACAGTTGATATAACTAATGTAAGTTGCTGATAACATCATAAAATGTTCAAAAACAACGTCCAACTAGGTAGTTAATGTGTTTTTATGTATCATTGCCAAGATTCTACTTCATAGTTTAAAATAAATTTATTTTAATCCAACTAGGTACTTAATTATAGACTCGCCCACATAAGTGTGATTCACAATACTTTGTCTGTCAGTTTGAAGTGTGGTACCGCTTGACTGTTCAAATGAAATTAATGTTATTGGATTTTTGACATTACTATCTAATTCAGAGAATATTTATTGAATTAGTGCACACCTTTAAAGTCAATCATCCAATTTGTGATTTGATAATTTAATATAAATGTTATATACATTTACAAATTATCATGACTTATTTTCATGATTGGAGGCGCAGATTCACATTGTCCGCTATTCCACATAAATGATCTAATGTCGATCTGCTTTCAGAATCTTCTACAATTGGTTTAATGCATGTCGCTATCTAATCTCACATTTTTTCCATATGGTGTGGTGGATCTTTGAAATGTCCTTTTGTTAGACCAACAATGAATTTCCATGTGCTCAGATGAATAATACCAAGAAACTGGATAATAACTTCTATCTCTGTTTGGTTTCATCACGGAACTTCTGAAATTCCACAGTACAACTCCAAAAATTGAATCTCAGTAGCTTCTGAGTTTATTCTCATTACTACTACTTTTCATTAATAACTTGATTTCTTGTCATTCTGTCTTTCAGATATTGACTATATGCAATTAACATCGGGATATAAGCTAGCGCTACTAACTGACAGATCTGCCATACAACGTTATTGAATATGTATTGATTATTATAGTTTCTGTTGAATACATTGACTTAGATAGGACAATCAACCTTGTCGAACTATAAAACCGACAATTAGGATCCCGATTTCTATGAATTAATATTTTTGAGTTAACTAGATGCATGCCCAACCAGCATTCTTAACCTTGAGCCATCTGCTAAGTCCTTATTTGTCCACTATTCCGTAAGAAAGTCCTACTCACTTCTTTCTCGCAAGGCGGTGCTGGTGTTGTTTACGTAATTGAGAGGAAGAAAGCGAATATCCGGCACTTTAACTGGGTAGGCAGGTACGGAGGATCTATATAGGGAGGTTGGAAAACCTTGATTCCAAACCAATGCTGCAGCATAGGCTTCAGGATCCTGAGGAGACAAATGGTGTATAAACCTACTGTTGGTCAATAGATACCATGGGACCGTATCTCTCTACACTGCTCTAACGCCATATGGACTAAACCTCTATGTCTAAGGCTCGGGGAGTGACCCTAAAATCTAGAATTGCTCCTATACCAAATCAGCTTTCTAATTCACATTCAATACCGAATTTGTAATCATAGTCAATTGTATATAGGTTGACATTGTTGATTAAATTTTTTAAAATATTTTATAAATATCCTTTTTCAGAAGGGGTTTTGTGGAGATTTTAGTATTTTATAGAGTTGAGATCATGAGTCAATTGAAGCTAGACTACCATGGAAAACCTGGAAGCACTGGACGGCCGTTTCGTCCTATTATGGGACTCCTCAGCAGTGCGCGTCCACGAACCCACTCTCGCGGGATTCGAACCCAGGACCTACCAGTTTCGAGCCGAAGCCCTTAACCGATAGACCACTGAGCTGGCATCCAACGGTGTTAATTTCTAACTTCAACTGATTCATGAAATTGAGCAACCATTCACCAATGTCATCAGTGAGTTCCTATCTCACAACAGACCTGGTTGAACTCCACCGGTTACTGCTTCTCACTAGAACTCCAGGAAATACCTCAAGGAGTCAGTCACTAGTGAGCACCTGATTATTATCAGAAGGGGTTTTGTGGAGATTTTAGTATTTTATAGAGTTGAGATCATGAGTCAATTGAAGCTAGACTACCATGGAAAACCTGGAAGCACTGGACGGCCGTTTCGTCCTATTATGGGACTCCTCAGCAGTGCGCGTCCACGAACCCACTCTCGCGGGATTCGAACCCAGTGGTCTATCGGTTAAGGGCTTCGGCTCGAAACTGGTAGGTCCTGGGTTCGAATCCCGCGAGAGTGGGTTCGTGGACGCGCACTGCTGAGGAGTCCCATAATAGGACGAAACGGCCGTCCAGTGCTTCCAGGTTTTCCATGGTAGTCTAGCTTCAATTGACTCATGATCTCAACTCTAAAAAATACTAAAATCTCCACAAAACCCCTTCTGATAATAATCAGGTGCTCACTAGTGACTGACTCCTTGAGGTATTTCCTGGAGTTCTAGTGAGAAGCAGTAACCGGTGGAGTTCAACCAGGTCTGTTGTGAGATAGGAACTCACTGATGACATTGGTGAATGGTTGCTCAATTTCATGAATCAGTTGAAGTTAGAAATTAACACCGTTGGATGCCAGCTCAGTGGTCTATCGGTTAAGGGCTTCGGCTCGAAACTGGTAGGTCCTGGGTTCGAATCCCGCGAGAGTGGGTTCGTGGACGCGCACTGCTGAGGAGTCCCATAATAGGACGAAACGGCCGTCCAGTGCTTCCAGGTTTTCCATGGTAGTCTAGCTTCAATTGACTCATGATCTCAACTCTATAAAATACTAAAATCTCCACAAAACCCCTTCTGATAATAATCAGGTGCTCACTAGTGACTGACTCCTTGAGGTATTTCCTGGAGTTCTAGTGAGAAGCAGTAACCGGTGGAGTTCAACCAGGTCTGTTGTGAGATAGGAACTCACTGATGACATTGGTGAATGGTTGCTCAATTTCATGAGTCAGTTGAAGTTAGAAATTAACACCGTTGGATGCCAGCTCAGTGGTCTATCGGTTAAGGGCTTCGGCTCGAAACTGGTAGGTCCTGGGTTCGAATCCCGCGAGAGTGGGTTCGTGGACGCGCACTGCTGAGGAGTCCCATAATAGGACGAAACGGCCGTCCAGTGCTTCCAGGTTTTCCATGGTAGTCTAGCTTCAATTGACTCATGATCTCAACTCTATAAAATACTAAAATCTCCACAAAACCCCTTCTGATAATAATCAGGTGCTCACTAGTGACTGACTCCTTGAGGTATTTCCTGGAGTTCTAGTGAGAAGCAGTAACCGGTGGAGTTCAACCAGGTCTGTTGTGAGATAGGAACTCACTGATGACATTGGTGAATGGTTGCTCAATTTCATGAGTCAATTGAAGCTAGAAATTAACACCGTTGGATGCCAGCTCAGTGGTCTATCGGTTAAGGGCTTCGGCTCGAAACTGGTAGGTCCTGGGTTCGAATCCCGCGAGAGTGGGTTCGTGGACGCGCACTGCTGAGGAGTCCCATAATAGGACGAAACGGCCGTCCAGTGCTTCCAGGTTTTCCATGGTAGTCTAGCTTCAATTGACTCATGATCTCAACTCTATAAAATACTAAAATCTCCACAAAACCCCTTCTGATAATAATCAGGTGCTCACTAGTGACTGACTCCTTGAGGTATTTCCTGGAGTTCTAGTGAGAAGCAGTAACCGGTGGAGTTCAACCAGGTCTGTTGTGAGATAGGAACTCACTGATGACATTGGTGAATGGTTGCTCAATTTCATGAATCAGTTGAAGTTAGAAATTAACACCGTTGGATGCCAGCTCAGTGGTCTATCGGTTAAGGGCTTCGGCTCGAAACTGGTAGGTCCTGGGTTCGAATCCCGCGAGAGTGGGTTCGTGGACGCGCACTGCTGAGGAGTCCCATAATAGGACGAAACGGCCGTCCAGTGCTTCCAGGTTTTCCATGGTAGTCTAGCTTCAATTGACTCATGATCTCAACTCTATAAAATACTAAAATCTCCACAAAACCCCTTCTGATAATAATCAGGTGCTCACTAGTGACTGACTCCTTGAGGTATTTCCTGGAGTTCTAGTGAGAAGCAGTAACCGGTGGAGTTCAACCAGGTCTGTTGTGAGATAGGAACTCACTGATGACATTGGTGAATGGTTGCTCAATTTCATGAATCAGTTGAAGTTAGAAATTAACACCGTTGGATGCCAGCTCAGTGGTCTATCGGTTAAGGGCTTCGGCTCGAAACTGGTAGGTCCTGGGTTCGAATCCCGCGAGAGTGGGTTCGTGGACGCGCACTGCTGAGGAGTCCCATAATAGGACGAAACGGCCGTCCAGTGCTTCCAGGTTTTCCATGGTAGTCTAGCTTCAATTGACTCATGATCTCAACTCTATAAAATATCCTTTTATTGTATATTTTAGAGATCCTATTCTGATGATTCTGTTGAAGCTTTAGATCGACATGGTCATGGAACATATGTTACAGGTTTAATTGCTGCTCAAAATCCTAATTTATATTACTCAAAATTTATTCATTCTTTTAATAAACATGATGATTCTACTTGTCCACCTTGGGGATTTGCACCACGTGCTGATTTATTCATATTTCGTGTATTCACTGATACACAAATATCTTATACATCATGGTTTTTAGATGCATTCAATTATGCAATTAGTCGAAAATTACATGTTATCAATCTTAGTATTGGTGGACCAGATTTTTTAGATAAACCTTTTGTTGACAAGGTTAGTTGTGATTTGTTTTATTTATTTTTATACAATAGATTAAGAATCCTTTTTTATCAGTAAAGGGTTGTAGGAATTTTCTGAGTTTCATTGAAATCACGAATTGATCTTGATATGCTTGAGCTAACTCGATTTTCTCGGTAACAAACGAAGGCCAATTACACAATAACACGAGAGGCTAATGCAATCCGTTTTCCCAAGCCCCGCTAACTAGAGGAAGAAGTCCAAGGCGAATTAGGGGAATATATATTCCGTAAGCAGTCGAGTACAAGCAAGTCATAAGGGAAAAAAAAACTCAAACGTATATATACAGCGATAATTTGTCCTTTGGCAGTATTACAAAATAGCACACTCAGGGACACAACAGACCAATGGCATTTAAGACATTTTACAAGTGAGAAATACGACTTAAAGGTGAAAAGAGCGCCTTTGGCGCGATAACAAGGAAATTCAAATTTTCAAAACAAAATTACAAAATTAAGCCATTTACCAAGTAAGTTCTGGGGGTTTGACATCCCCAACGGATCTTATACGACCATTATCACGTGATCATCATGACCTATGTTTTTATGTGTTGTGTGATGTGGTTCAAATTCATCCACAATAATACAGATCCATTGACGTTTTATTTATCGTTAGATCTTGACTTTTACATTCCATTTGTAATTTTTTTAAAACTTCATTGTTTTAAGTCATATTTTTTACTACCAATGATATGGTTGTGACTGCTGATGCTCCGGCATTGGTCTTGATATTGTCTTGGTGTTGATATAATGTTGAATTTCTGTATTTAAGCTTGATATATCAAGTATTTGTGTTATATATATATTCTTGAATTTCAAGACAATCACTTTTAACACATAGTCTCTATTGATATTTGTAACAGAAAGTTAGTCAAAGTTAGCCAAACAAGAACACTTAAGTCTTGTAAGATATAAAGGTATAACAATATTCAACTTCCGAAAAAAAGACATGAATTCAACGTAATATAATTAAGTACAAGGTTTACTTGCATTTTCTTCAGCATTGAAATATCTTAGTAACTGATAAGCAAAAAAAGTCTTTCTTAGTCATGACGAGTCCCAAATGAGACGAAATGTACGTCCTAGATTCCACTGCTAACCACTATCCAACTTTGCATATAATCTTTTGTAAGCATAATTTTGTTCTGTAATAAAACTCCACTAATTAGTATTCAAGGAGGGAGGATTAAAGAAATGGATATTCATTGGTTAGTAGTTAAATATTGTGCAGAGCACATTGAATCTAGCTACTCAGTCCAAAGTAACTAGTTCGATTTTTACTGTAAACTAAAATTTTCTCATCAATTTAAGCCAGGGAGCATCAGTTCCCTCGAGATTACAGGTACACCTTGCTGACGAGTGCCAATTAGCACGAAACCTAGGTCCAGGGTTTTCTGTTGACTACCTCTAACCACTATCTTATCTCAACATAATGCTCGCATTGTCGAGTCACTTAGACTGATGGCCACATCGCAACATTATCGATAGTATTCGATCTGCACTAAGAAGGATCTAACATACAGGACATTGATCAACACGCAGTGATCAATCAATTGTAAATACATTGGTAAGAAACACTTAATGTATGATCTAAGGTTTATATATATATATATATATATATATATATATATATATATATATATGTGAAAAACGTTACCACTTATTTCTTAGTACTAGTGTTTATGTGGTACTAACCTATCCCTTACCTCCAGAACTATTGTCAATTGTAATTATAGTATTTTGTTGTAGGTACATGTATGTATTTACGTGTTGATTGATGTACTTATTTTAATATTTACGTGTACAAAATGCAATAAACAAAGATGATATAATGTTAATAGTGGATTTATTAATAAAGGAACCAAATAAATTAAACTGTTTAGTAATGCTAACAATTTTAAATACTTCATCTTGAACTGGCTCTTAACTATTTTAGGGTAATTGAATGAACATTACACTTTATTATAAATTGATTAATGTAAACAATTGGATACAGGTTCAGTGAACATAACATTTAGGTGTTTACCACTAATCCTAATTGTCCTAGGTTCGATCCGTTGTCGGGTTTGTAGGTGAGCACTTCTGAAGAGAATGAATAAATAATTAAAAAGACTCTTATTTTAAATGAGGCATTTTATTCATTTGCATTTATTGTTGAATTATTAAGGTTTTAGAATTATCTGCAAATGGAATATTATTAGTTTCTGCTATCGGGAATGATGGCCCTTTATTTGGAACATTAAATAATCCAGCTGATCAAATGGATGTTTTAGGTGTTGGCGGTGTAGATGCTTTGGGTCGCGTTGCACGATTTTCTTCACGTGGAATGACTGGTTGGGTAAGAAATATCATGTTTAAGTTTGATTTGCTTTGTTGTGGACAGTTATCGTTTTTTATTCACAGTTCAGGTTGAGTCACTTGGTTTTTAATAAGTACATTAGAAATAACTGGACACATCTAGTTAAAATTCTTTATCACCTACATACCTGTATATGGTCTGTCGAATAAATACGCAAAGGGACCTGCTAAGTTGTTTAGTAAAGTCTGATGATTGTTCTCGAGGATAACTCACTAAAAACATATCTTTTTTCAAGTGAACTAAGTATCTCAGTGAAAACATTGACGATCGATACAACAAGGTCAAGTTCGTTGTTGATTTCTATTAAGCACAATTGAAGAACGACAAACCCCCTGTTGAAACTGACTTCTATAGATGTTTTGAACTGTGTAATCGGAGATGAAATTGACTCATTATCATAAATGATAAGTAACTTGAAAGTTGTGAGATTGTGAAAATTCGGATTTCACAACGTAGTTTTAACAACATCTGTTCGCATATTCCTTGAACAGATTGTGTATAAGTGGTATCATTACTCACCACTTCATTTTTATTATTCTTAAGTTTATCTCCACTTGATTAAACACTTTTAATGTTGATCAAATTTAGGAACTTCCAGCTGGTTATGGACGTGTAAAACCGGATATTGTTACTTTTTCTACTGGTGTTATCAGTTCTAATCTAGACGGAAAATGTCGTGTATTATCAGGAACTAGCGTAGCATCTCCAATTGTAACAGGAATTGTTAGTTTATTAATTAAGTGAGTGTAAATTTGTGTTTTGTTTCGTGATGATTTGAATTCTTTTCTTTTGTTATTGTAGAAAGTAATCAGTTGATTAATACTGTTTACTTTGTTCTTCTAAGAAACTTTGAATTGATGAGTATGGGTTTTTATTGAGCTAGTTGCTATCATGTTTGCTTTCCACTATTTTATAAGGAATTGTACTTACTTACTTATGCCTGATACCCCTCGTCGAGGAGCATAAGCCGCGCACCAGCATTCTCCATCCAACCATGTCCTGCGCCTTCCTTTCCAGTTCTTTCCAGTTGTTATTCATCCTTTTCATATCTGCTTCTATTTCCAGGCGTAATGTGTTTTTTGGCCTTCCTCTTTTCCGCTTCCCTTCCGGATTCCAAGTTAGGGATTGCCTTGTAATGCACATTGGTGATTTCCTTAATGTATGTCCGATCCACTTCCAACGTCTTTTCCTAATTTCCTCTTCAGCTGGAAGCTGGTTTGTCCTCTCCCATAAAACGCTGTTGCTGATAGTATCCGGCCAGTGAATGTTGAGTATTTTGTGTAGACAACTGTTTAAAAATACTTGTACCTTCTTGATGATGGATGTAGTAGTTCTCCACGTTTCAGCTCCGTACAGTAGAACTGTCTTGACGTTCGTATTGAAGAAGTTAGTTGACAGTTGTTTTGAGTTCCATATGTTCTTCAATTGTAGAAATGCTGCTCTTGCTTTGCCAATCCTCGCCTTTACATCTGCATCCGATCCTCCGTGTTTATCAACGATACTTCCCAGGTACGTGAATGGTTCCACCTCTTCCAGAATTTGACTATCAAGTGTGATTGGGTTGCTGTTCTCCGTGTTGTATTTTAGAATCTTGCTTTATCCTTTGTGTATGTTGCGGCTTATTGATGCAGAGACTGCTTCTACATTTATTGTTTTCCTCTGCTTTTGTTCATGTGTATGAGATAGGATGGCTAGATCATCTACGATGTCCAAATCATCTAATTGATTTTGAGATGTCCATAGTTTTTTTTTAAAACGCTAACCAGAAAAAATAATGAATTGTAGCTTTATCATATTCATACATTGCTGTATTTTTTTCTCCAGATGATGGGTTTCAGCGAGAGAAATATACGGATTGATTGTTTATTTCATTTTTGTATTGGTTGTTTGAAGTGAGCAGTTTTAGGCTCGAATCCCAGAGTGAATACCGACTGTGGGATGTAGGTGCATCCAGCTGAAAAGTTCCAAATAATGCGAAACACACTTTATTGATTCATTGATTTTATGTAGTGTATTATTTATAATAAGCTATTTCACTTTCCATAGCACTATATATCACTCCATATACGTTGAAAGCAATTATTAACTAAATGGATAACTCACTGCTTGTTTGATGTAAAAAGCACTTGATTCAAGCTATAGGATGAATATAAACAATGAAATCTAGGTTAGGAATCCTATATAGGATGAGACGTTTGGTTTGGATTCCACTACTAACCACTGTCCAACTTTGTTTAAATAACGAGACGATTCACTCAAGATACAAGTATGCTAAAATAAATTATTCAATTTCGGTTCATAAAGTCAGCAACGGCAAGATTATATACACTTGCGAATGAAATCATTGTTGGTTATTTTGTAAATTAAAGCATAACAGTCTGCGCTGTACTAACGATGAATTCAGTACGTAGATTATTTTCACAGATTAACACTCGTTTTTATGACATGTACTGTCATAGCATCTTTTATTTTTTCAACCTTTAAAAATCTTCCGAAAGTTATGAAGTAATATTATAGTGAACGAGAACAGAAGTGGGGACAATTGAGTGTATTTCAATACAAAATTACAGCAACTCTTAGTAAAATCTGAGAACCATACAGTGAATACTTCATTTGCAAAATGTCAATCAGTTGTCTCAAACTTGATTATTGCCTCTGCAAATACTAATCAATCGTCTGAGACTTCACTGTGACTTCAGTTCCACACCGATCATTCTCTGTTCTCGTTCTCTTTCCTTCGATCTTCCTAACCTCTCGCCACTAGGCATTTCATTTTTGAATGATGGTACATACTACTTATATCTATCGACATCAGTAGCACACACCATAATCGGAAGACTGTTTACTAACTGGAGGAATACATTTGGTTATTTTCATGTCTTCTCAAATTTTTAAAAAGCAAATTAATTTACATTATTACTTATTTACATTAATTTTAGTGCTGCTTTAAACCATAATGCCAACTTAATTAATCATGAAAATAGTAGTCTATATCATATGAATATAGATAACTATCCATTTGTACCTGTTAATCCAATTAGTATTAAACAAGCTTTAATAGCCAGTGCAAATCAATTAAATTCAGTACGTGTATTTGGTACGAATTCAATAAAATGGTTACAAGAAACTGATCAAAGTAGTATGTTTGAACAAGGCGCTGGTTTGGTAAATCTTCAGTCAGCCCTAGAGGTATGTAATAATCAGCTTGTGTATACTGAATTACTTGAGCTTTTCCAATAAAATAATAGTGACAGTGATCATGCTTTGGTTGTGTTTTTCATGTTTTCGATAATTTTATACGCGTTGCGCAAGTTTGCAGTTAATTAAATGCAATAGCTCAATGGATAATTCTTTAGATGTTTGAACCGAAAAATCTTGGGTTCTGGTTTCGATGTGAATAATAACACTAAGATATAGGTGCATCCGGCTAACGAATCTTAAAACGGATGGAACATGGATTCTATTGTTGCAAACATATCTAGTGTATTGTGTTTATATCCATGTGGGTATTTGGTCGAAACTGCTGCAATAAATACAGATATTACTTGTATCATTCTATTTTCCTGTGCTTATTGATAATGCACTTCATATTGAACAGTCCTGTTATTCTGAAAATGGAAAAAGTATTAAAAGTATTGAAATGGTACGATTTATTATTAAGTAGTAGTTTGAATGAAATATCATAGATCGATACCGCGATCCTACCTTGCTTCCATGGCCCAAGTGAAAAACTCCAGAGAGTCTTAAAACTAGACAGAATCAAAGTATGATACAAAACATCTATTGTGGTGTGGTCTACTTATATCCATATAAATAGTATATGGTGTTAGTCAGACATAGAATGTATTTTGGCAGAAGACCGATGAGGAAAGAACTGAAACGAAGCGCAATCGGTTGGAAAATGCACGAACAATGGAATTAGAGAAGAAACAGTCAAGATCGAGACTATTGGTTGTTAATTTGCAAATTAACTGTCCATTGTATGGTTTTCAGAATTTATTGAGATAGTCTGTAATGTTTGCTTAAATACATTCGATTGTCCCCAGTCGTGTTTTGTTCATTACACTATCAGATAAATTATCTCCACTGCTCCTGAATACACTACCGAATTTCACTATTACTAGCATGTTGTTTCCACTTGGTGTAACACGTCTTTTGTTGATAATAATGATCGAAAATGTCGACTCACTGAACATCTTCATCATAAAAGGGGCTAAGTTTAACAACGACTGAGCAAGACTGATCTTTACAACTCATTGTTGACCTGACTAACATCATCGAAGATGATAAAAATTGGTATAAGCCCGTCTGGATTTCACTATATGTAGATTGATTTCAATCTGCTGCACAGTCATCACTATTCACATAGGCATCAATACAGGTGAGAAATAGACTTGCTGACTTCTTACGTAGTGTATTGTAGACACATACTTCACATTCCTTTTTAACTTAATTATTCAAGTATTACATCAATCAGCATTAACTGTTTTATCTTGGTTATTTAGGTCATCATACTAGAAAATCCCTATGTATTGCATGTTCAATTTATTGGTTAAGTAAATACTTCTTTGTTATATCACATTTTACAGATTGTACAGCGTATGAAACCTCAAGCAAGTCTGATGCCTAGTTATTTGGATTTAACACAATGTCCATATATGTGGCCATACTGTTCTCAACCATTGTACTCTTCCATGCAACCAATTATCATTAATGTAAGTTGTTTCTTTATACCTTTTAAACTTTAGTTCATAATAATCTGTTATATGCGCAAAATAAAACGATACGGTAAGAAATAAAATGTTTTTTGCTTGCTACATTATACTACTGTTGTAGTCAACATAAGTAGCATAGACCACATTACCATAATAGGTTAATATGACCAATGACCAAGATTATACCATCTTTAGACTGGTTAGTTGATTGATATGCTCTATTCATTTATTTTATCATTGAATAATGACTTTATTCAATATTACGTTTGCTAGATAATGTATTGGAGAGCTTTTATACCTTTGCTTCCGTGCATAGACTCTAATTTGTTGACGTCTCATTCTACCAGAAGACATACAAGTAGAAGGATATGAATGAAATAGATGGTTAGTATCTGATAAGATAACATGTGTCAGGTTTTTGGAAGACTTCGAGAATTGACAAATTGTAAATGTCACTTTAAATCAGTAATTTTTTTAAAATTCCTACTTGGGTGTCAATTTTATGTCAATAACAAGTAGCTATTCAAATTTCAGCTTATTTTGATTTTGGATTTCAATAGAGGAATTTCGATGTCATAATTTTTCAGGATCAGGTACATGGAAGACAAACAATTCACAGTTAATCAGTAGAGACAACGATGGACGGTTGTGGAATATCGTGGATTGGTTGAAGTTTAGACATTAAGACTGTTGGATGTGGACTCAGTGGTCTAGAGGTTAGGCGTTCACGCGTGAGACATTAGGTCCCTTACTACAGTCCCACTTTTGAGGTCGTCGATGGGTACTGCTCACCAGTACCATATTATGACCAAACAGTAGTCCACTACTTCCAGGTTTTCAATCACCGTCTAACATTCATCCACCCGTCATGATATCAATCTGAACTCGAAGATCTCCACAACCTATACAGATGAACATTATGTGCTCACTAGTGAATGACTTCAGGTGTATCCTGGAGAAGCCGTGGCCAGTGCAGTTGGACCGTGTATGTTGTAGAGGCAGTTACTCACATGAAACAATGGTGGAGTGTGGCGCAATATAGTGGATTGGTTGAAGTAAGACATGAACACCGTTGTATGCCGTTTCGGTGGTTTAGAAGTTAAGCGTTCGTGCGCGATATCTTAAGTCCTAGGTTTGGGTCTCTTTTGTGGGATAGCGGACGCACATTGTTGAGGACGGAATCGTCGTCTAGTGCTTCCACGTTTTCCATGGTGGTCTAGCTTGAATTGACTCATGAATTCAACTATTGAAAATTCATTGTGCAATCATCAATGTTTTTCTTGTCGTATTTAAATTCTGTTGTGTTTTAATGGTGATGAATTGGTGCTGTTTTTTTCTCTTCCCTTGAAATATCCAATAGTTTTATGTCTCAGTATTCTGCATTATGCCAACTTTTGTAAGGTAATTACGACTTACACTCAATTATTTATTGGCATCAAAGTGTACTATGGGATCTGACGAAATTATCACATTTTCAAAACATTGCAGCAGATAAACAAATATATGTGTGTTGAGGGATAGAAAAGATTACGTCACAAATTACTTTGAGACTCTGAATATTAAATGAGGTTGCGTAATTATCAAGGGTTAAGAGAAGAATGGAAGGACGAAAATAATTTACGGGTGAGAATTATGAATGATAATTGTGGGCCTGATAAATATGTAGGAAAATGCCGGACAAAAACTATTCAGAGAATTGTTATCGTACTGTTTCAATTAGACTAGGAAGAACACCTCTAATCTTTTTATGAAAAGCGTTATCATCATATGTTTTAAACACTTTTAAGCAAAGATGAATGGTGACTAATAGTGGGTTGTGGGACGCGCGTTCTGCCTTTATTTGGACTCGTCATCCGAGAATAGATATTCACTCTGAGGCTCGAACTCAGTACTGTTTGATTCAAATGCCATTCTCTTGTCTATCCACTTTGCTACTGAGATCAGATAGCCATAGGCTTGTGCAATGGGCTAAATTTTAATTCCTTGAAATTAGTCGTTTGAATTCAGAAAGAATTCAGAAAGATGCTCAACTTTCGATTCACGTTTAATCGTTGATTTACTTAGGCTGAATGTTTGTCACAAATACTTCGAATGGACATGTATACAAACGACCAAACACTTTGTACTTTAACTCTTGCTAACATGCATCAGTCCAACGTTATTCGTCTGTCTATGTTTATAGATGTATGTCGTGTCGTGACAATACGTGAACATATTAATCAGTGATTAGCCGTTAAGTGTGTTGCTCATATTGTGGTCACTTTTCTGGAGGATCACCTTTCTTTACTCATAAGATCCGGGTTCATGTTATTTCATATTCACGAACCCAAAATTCAGTATCAAAAGTACGGAGCTATCAGGCAGCTAACATGATGAGCAGTAAAATTGACGATGGAACAAGTTTATTGCCATCTGTGCGTAGCATCTTACACGAAATGGAAGTAACATATTTTACGGAACAGATTTTGTATTTGTCAAGCAGATTAGTTTTTTCTTTGAATAATTTTTAAAAAATCTTATCTCGTTGATAATAGATACAGTTTATGTATTCTTTCCCACCATTTTATTTAAAACATTAAGATAACAATTTTAAATTCTATGGATGTTGTTGGTCGTATAACAAACCCGCCTATTTATCATCCATACATTAATTATAATGGACATCGTCTACATGTTGGCATTTCATATTCTCAATATCTTTGGCCATGGGTTGGATATTTAGCTGTTTATCTGAGTGTAACACCCGATTCTATTGACGATATTATTCCATCGTCGCGTTTCTCTGGTGTTGCTGAAGGTTATGTGAGTCTTGTTGTGGAATCTTATGACATTGTAAGTAACCTTATTTAAGTTTTTAGTATTCATTTTCATTGTATATGACGTTGTTATGTTTATTATTTATTTATTTATTTATTTAAACATAAATATTGGTACAAAGAAGCATCAGATATATATGCGACGCACAAATCTCATTCGACTTGTGTAAGGGCTATGATACTACCCAGGTGCCAAAACTGAAGCAGGTGATTTTCTTATGGAGCCACACCCGGAGCCTTTGACATGAATGTCTATTCCACAAGGTAGTGGAGCATCGTCAAGAGATGCAGTCCCATGGTAACCGGTGACCAACGATTGATTCATACGCCATTTTTTCTCTAAGGATACTGGAGTCCATGTGCACCATTGGCTTGAAATAAGGGTTTTCCAACTCCCCTAGGTGGACTTTCCGTTTCCACCAACCCGGTTAAAGCGCCGGACATTCGCTTTTTGTCCTCTCAATTTCGTAAACAACAGTAATGCCACGAGAAGGCAGTGAGTAGGAATTCCCTGGCAGAGGCTATATACGCGTGGCCGTATGAGAGCATTTCGAGAGGGAGGGTGAACCATCCTCACTATCTGCCGTACCAGGGCATTTGGGGGGTACGTTGTTATGTACGTAATGATGATAATAATAACATTCATAACAAACGGTATCTATGATCTGTGTTTTAATTCACGTTATTTTGTCATACTTTAAAAATAATCTTGATCGAAATAGATGTTCTGTGGTTTCATAGTCGAATGCTTACAATTGAACTCAATTAATCAGTTATGTAGAGAATTGCTTTGGATCGATTTTAATCTAACTGTTGATCACGTATGTTGTTTGAAGTTGAAAATATGTGCTGTAATATATACTGGCTTTAATAAAATGTACCTGGAATTGTCATGTTGAATTCTTGATGAATTTTACCAACATAGGACGGAACAGTCAGCAAATACATCCTGGTTACTAATAGTTTTCCATCTGTTGTAAACATTTGTGGTGAAAGTTACCGTTGAATGTGTTAAACTATGATTTCATTATCATAATACTGAGGTATACTATTTTGAACGTACTGTCTTTATTTTTTGCCTTTCTACATTCCTACAGGTTCGAAATCTATCATTAAACACAAATCTACGATTACCAATTAAAGCTAACATTGTACCTATTCCACATCGATCGTAAGTTTTTATCTGATTATTCAAATAACTGTATTCATAGGTAGTTTGCTAACTGAAATTTCTTTTCATCTTTAATACCCTGAGTGTTTTCTTCTCCTGAATAAATTCTGCGCATCTTTCTCACACCTGACTTACGTTCACGGGTGAAATCTAAATTTTTCAAATCTGATTTTACGCTTATGATGTGAATGCACGCAGTTTAGTATCGCACCAGGCCAAAACGTCTATTCAGTACTTCCAGGTTGTCGATAATTGTCTAATTTAGAACACTTCATTGTCTTGATTGAAACCCTTATTCAGATTAATTCTAATATGATAAAATTTATATATTTGACTACGTGTTCACAATTTTTTAAAACGTTTTTTTTCGTTTCATTTAGAAAACGAATTCTCTTTGATCAGTTTCATAGTATTCATTATCCATCTGGTTTTATTCCTCGAGATGATTTGACCCGATCAAAGGAGCCATTAGATTGGTAAATGTTTCAGGTTGTTTTTTTTCTTTTCTTGCATCACTCATCATGCGTGCTTTATTGTTTATCAATTTTATTAGGCGTGTTTTCTTCAACAGTTAGTTAGTCAGTCATAATCCCGACCGTTGCTGCTACCTTGATGTAGTGGTCGGGCTTGCCTATCGTGATGAACCAATCGAGCTATACTGGCTGGAACAATCGTTCCTCAAGGTCCTACCATGCCAGACAGGTCGGTTAAAGAGCGGTAAGACTAAAAGCAGCAAACCCAAGGTCCGAAGGCGATGTCGTACTGCTGACTGTACAGAGGTGTGACAACAGTAAGGTGTTTCCTTCAGACAACCAGCATGACAGCGATGCTACCTTCCCACAAGAAGGGGTGGGGTTAGAAAAGGTCGACCCTAAAAATGCACACCTCGCCTTATCCTACGGATTTCGGTCTCCGGCGGTAAGGTCCTTTGAAGAACGGAGCTAACACAAAAACTACCCGACTGACCGACCCCAAGCAGTTGTCCCTTGGGCACTGTGGTCACGCTCTCAGGTCATTAAGATCACTTCTAACCCAATTTCCTTTTCAGGTACTCTAGAAGAACCCTTCCACGGTGTGGGCAACCGGGAAGTGATAACTGCCCTCATACCTCTAACAACCTCCGTAATCAGTCATAATCACCATAAGGCCTGAGATAAATATGCGTTAATCCATGTTACAATATTAAGTTTTCATTACAAGTTAAATCGGAATGGTTTCAAAATGATCATAATATCAATGATAGTCAAAAAGACAGTACACTGAAAGCACATTACAAAAAGATGAGGAAAAGTGGTGGATATGTGTGTGAACAGTGGTTCTGTAATTAAAGATCAAGATTGTTAGATTAGGTGTGAATCTTAAACCGGGTTGTTCCTATGCATTTTGAAGTAGAGAAATGATTCTCTCTATCCTTCACTGTATCAGGACATTCAGTTAATGAAAATATTCGCTTTATTTCCATCTCATTCAATCAATTATAATTATCTGTGTACTCTTTATTCGGTAATTTGTACTTCTCATCATACACTTTTCGACTAGTAGCATCTTCCTTGACCTTTATTAGACTGTATACACTTTTTCACTTCTTACGTTAGTTCTTAAAATGTAGTTTTTTAATGATAATTGTTCAGTAAGCTTTGAATCGTTTAACCTTTTTTTCTAGGTTAGGAGATCATATTCACACAAATTTTCTTGATCTATATACACATCTACGTAGAAAAAGTTATTTCATTGAAGTATTAACCTCTACATTTGACTGTTTCAATGCGTCTAATTATGGTAAGTACTTGGAAATTAGTCTGAATTATAAACTGTACTAGACGTTGGACGTACTTCTTATGTATTAATGTTCAGGGAGATAGTCTTATCAGTTGGCACATAAACTTAGCTAATTTCTGAATTATCAGTATAGGGTTGTGGAAATTGTTGAGTTTAGATTGATATGAATGGATCAATATTAGACTACCATTGAAGACCTGGAAGCACTGGACGGTGCACTGCTGAGGAGTCCCATATTAGAACAAATGGATGTCCAGTGCTTCCAGATTTTAATGGTGGTTTAAAATCGATCGATTCATGGTATCAATCAAAATTTTTGAATTAGAATGACAATTACAATCAGAGAATGCAAATCTGCTTGCTGTTCATCAAAGTTACAAGGAAATATTATTATTAGATATTATGATTTTTGATTGTTATTCGAAATCAGTAGTGCTGTTGCCCAACAAGTCGTCGATTTGATCACGGTAAGTGAATGATATGTGGATTCCATCAACTAATGGCTCAATAAAACAGGTGAAATAAAATTAGAATATCCTACGACAGTGTAATAAGAAAAAGAAGACTATCAGAATTATGTGATATGTTAACGCAATACATTTCGAACAATCTATTCACACATATACTTTTTAAGAACATTCATATATTAAAATAAAGGGTCAACTAGACTAGAAACGGAGGGAAAGAGGAGACAAGGATAATCGGTTGATATTACCATGGTAAGTTTAAAGTAAGAACAAACTGTTTATGAATACACCAAGTGGGTTTAAATTTTCGTACGGCTAATGCTTCAATACGCCTTTTTACACTTTTGTACATTACAAATAGCTTAGATTTCTTTATTTCATGTGTTCCTTGAACAGATTATCTCTTCGAATACTTTCAAGTTTAAAGAAAGTTAGTCATTATATTGAGCAACGTCTTGATTCCTTTGGATACATAATAAAATTGATCAACTCATTTTGTTTTTAGGTACATTCCTTATTATTGATCCAGAAGAAGAATTCTTTCCATATGAAATAGAAAAATTGTTTGTAGATGTTACAGATAAAGGATTATCATTAATTGTTTTCGCTGATTGGTATAATACTAGTGTTATGCAAAGTTTACGCTTTTTTGACACTAATACCAGGTTAGTGAAATTTGTGTTAAACTTCATGTATCATGTATCATTATTTTTCTATTTTCCTATTACCCCTTCCAGCCATATAGAATGGTGAAGCCTAGTAGGCCCTTCTGGTGAAGAGTGCTACAGCACGGCACAACTACCGGTGTGGGATAGCTGTTTCTGCAATGCTACGCAGAACCATTACATAACACTGACACAGAACCCTTTTTTGTTTTTATTTGGGCCGACTCTTTTTTTATTTTACCTCTCTTTTTGAACACTCAATAGTTATGCAATGACTCCTTGTAGCACTCTTAATCGTTTTTTGGGTATTGGTAGAGTGGTTGATTAGGCCGACCTCGACCACCCACGATTAACCGCTCACGTTAGTTCATGGAAATAGTCCCATTATCCAGGAGGCACGACGAGGACGTGTGAGTCGTATTCTGCCCCTCATAATCCTATTATTATTGTTATCACGTGTACTACGTATTATGTACGAGATTTCATATTATATAGAAATATTGTGTAATTTCACATCTTTTCTTCTGAATAAGCAAACTATCTCATCATGACACTGATTTGATGGTCAGTGTTTGGTGTGAACACGTAATTATTTAATTGCATGTGTTATGTAATCGTCAATGGGTTGTTGTTGAAGCACTCTGGTTGTAAAACCCATAAATATGTATTTTGTTAATCCAATACTCAATTGTTACTTACTTTCGTAATGACTTGGTATCCATTGTTCGGATACTATCAGCAACAGCCCACTATTGAAAAGAACAAACTAGTTTCTAGGTGAGGAGAAATTAGGAAAAGATGTTGGAAATGGATTGGACACATACTGAGGAAATCACAAAACTGCATCACGAGGCAAGCTTACTTACGCCTGTTACTCCCAATGGAGCATAGGCCGCCGACCAGCTTTCTCCAACCCACTCTGTACTGGGCATTCTTTCCTAGTCCTATCCATTTTTTGTCCATTCTTCTCATGTCTGTCTCTATTTCTTGGCGTAATGTGGTCTTCCTCTTCTCCTTTGGCCTTCAGGATTCCATGTGAGGGCTTATCTTGTGACGCAACTGGGTGATTTCCTCAAAGTGTGCCCAATCCACTTCTAGCGCTTCTTCCTGATTTCTTCCTCCGCTGGAATGTGGTTTGTTGTCTCCCACAGTAACTTGTTGCTGATAGTGTCTGGCCATTGGATCCGAAGTATCTTGCGTAGACAACTATTAGTAAATACTTGTATCTTTTGGATAATGGCTTTCGTAGTTCTCCAGGTTTCCGCCCCATACAGTAGAGCTGTCTTGACTTTTGTATTGAAAATTCTAACCTTGGTGTTGGTTGACAATTGTTTATCACGAGGCAAGCGCTTACCTGGAATCGTGAAGGGGAAAGGAAAAAAGGAAGACCGAAGACTACACTGTGTCAGGAACTGGAAGCAAACATGAATAGAATGAATAGCAAGTGGAAGGAACTGGAAAGGACTATCCAGGACAGAGTTGGTTGAAGAATGCTGATGAGCGGTTTACGCTCATCGTTGAGAGGCAACAGGAGTAAGTAAGTAAGTACTTAACGACTTACTTACTTACTTTGGACTGTTACCCCCCGTAGGGTCATACATCGACTACCTGGCATCTCCAAAGTGTATAACGTGATGACGTTTGACACGAATGGTGCTGGTTTCGAATCTCGAGGTAAACGTCAACTCTTGGATTCAAGTACATCCAGCTGGCGAGTTTTAAGTAGTAAGAGACACGCGTCATGGATTTCACTGTTAGTCTAATCTATTTATTATTAGTTTCTTTATCATAGTGACCTATTAGAAATTCAATGGATGTAGTAGATTTAAAGATGAGTAGATATAAAGATGAATTTATGCAATCGGTTACTTATACAAATGTGTTACTTAAGTATATGAATTATGAAAGGTTTTGATACTTCTGTTGCCAAATAATTAATGTGTATCCAAAGTTTATATTCATTTTCTAGAAAAAACGACTTCAATTCTTATGATCATTATAAGCATCGCTTAAGGTCATTCATATATATACATCAAACGTTTATGACTTCAATATGTCATATTATGGAAACCTACTTTCTAACACATATCTCTATTAGTTTTCTTTGTTTTCTCTTTTTGACTTGATCTTACGTTTTTCTAGACGTTTATGGACTCCAGACACTGGTGGATCAAACCTACCTGCTTTGAATGATTTACTTCGACCATTTAACATTGAATTCGGGTGAGAATTTTGTTATTTTATTCATTTGTTGTTGAATCCTTTGTGATTATTATTTCGATCCTATTGTTATTAATTATTGATGAGTGAAATAATGTTTAATTTAACTTCACTGACTTGTATATAGTTCAGATCTTAGTCAGTTAGCCAGTCATAATCAACATAGAGCATAGCACAAATGTTTGTTGGTCTCTAGTTGTCATAAACACTAGGAATAGTTTGTTTATAGAATAGTATTAGGATTCTTTTGATCACATTCTTCAGTGAGAGATGATAACATAAGATTTGTTTCTGAGTAAAGTGAAATGTTCCAGCCACTAAGACACGAGACAGAAGTCAATAAGTAAGTTAATCGATATTTGAAAACTTAACGAATAATAAGTATGCAATGGTGAGATTATAATTTATGGAAGACCTTTGTGCAACAATCAAACCACCTTGGAAATGTTAACTCACATACCAGGGTGACATGAGGGTAGTAAATCGGTGTGAATAATCACGATGAGGATTTACAGTTGGACGTTATGGTTTGGAATTAGATTTAATATTTTCATCACGAACTGATATCAGCTATGATGTAAATCAGCTGAATGGTTGGATGGATTTACCGCTAAAATTCAAGACCTGCTATCCTAAATCAGATTGGTGCGTCGATAAATTATACTCTCGCTGTATATAAATGATACTTTTGCATACAGTTCAGAAATTAGCTAAATAAATTCACGGAATACGTGTTCATGTATTTTAGGTATCTTTTGGAAAATTAGGAAGGCTGATCAGTCTATATACTTTATCGATTGTGATTATTACAAACCACATTTCATACAAATTTTACCACTATCATTCCGTTAAACTTCAGCTAATATATAATCCAAACCTAATTGACAAATGTCGATCACTATGATTGAATTCATTCGTAAAGTTCTTCTTCTTCTTTAAGAACAGAAATCTCCAATTTGACCCTATATGTTATTTAGACTCAACTCGTTTGTGTAACTATGGTAATAAGACGCCGAACACGTGTTTCGTTGCATGAATTTATTTCAAAAACTCGTTCATCCAGACAGACATTCAGAGTAATTTAGAAGCGGTAAAAATGTAGTGGAGTGAAAAGGCGAGCGATACAGCTCTATTTTCAGAAAGCGTGACTGAATATTTATAGTCAGGCAAAAATAAGCATCAGCCACGTAGTGAATAATGTTATATCCTGCCGACGAATAAATGAATGGTAACTACTAGGAGTTAGTTATCGCCTATTATTACATATATTCTTATTGTATAACTATTAGGTAACTATATTATATGTATACTCACATTCGTTTTGTTATAAGCTTCCATTTGACCTATTGACGACTATTATACAATTTAGTGTTCTTAACTTATTCCCAATTTATCAGTTACAGTCTCTCACACTCACAGCCACTTTTGGCTTCATCTTGTGTGATTATTATTTTTCATTTTATGATGTGATGCGGTCTGGTCTACTTGTGTATAAACCAAGTATGTCTGAAATACATGATTCATACGGTGGAAGCTGAGATTGTGTTCTGAACTCCGACAGATAGACTAGGCGAGACGGACCAATAAGGACTCTTGATTGACTCTATGCTGCTCATACTGGTTAACACGTCACTGGTTAGACACAGTTCCAAGGTTGTATAAGTCGACGTTGTGATTGGCAATGTAGTCGAGTGATATTCGATGGGGCTAAGGACATGTGCTCTTATAAAGATAGTCAAAGTGTTAATAAGCTAGTGATTGACAAGGTTGAAATGTGACTCAAGAAAAATGAATCAATTGATCTGTTTCTATGGTAGAATAACACATGTTTGCTTGACCTGGTACTAGACCCTACTAAGTAACTATCAGAATGAACCGTTCTTTTTTGTTTCATGTTATTTATTATCTTTCCGTTGGCTTTTTTAATACATATCCAATTTCTCGGATTTTTCATTCTGTCGTTTATTCTATTTTCTATTGATAACATTTTGATAGTGATTCTGTTTTCGCTGGCAATTACGTAATAGGACATCGAACTGGTAAGTTAATGTGTTATTTCTATGTAATAAGGAGTGGATTGGATTTTGATGATTTTCTATTTTCATACTGTGTTTCCTCTGTATTTTGTATTGTTTTAATGTTAATTGGTCAATTATACGCCAACAATGATGTCTCGTACTATGCAACTGCTAGACTCAGATTCACAAGGAACATTAGTTCCTGAAGGACTGCAGGTACAGCTTACCGACGAGCACCCGCTAACATGATACGTTCATTCAGAGTGTTCTCTCGACTAACTGCAGCCATTTAACTGCAAAACATGATTTTTATGTTGAGTCACTTAAACTAATAGCCATAATGCAACTTGATTGATAGAATTCTATTCATTTGTTGAAAGACATCCACATGCAGGTACTAGTATTCTGCACATTTTATCCAGCTCTTAAGGCCGTACATATTTCATGCCCATAACATGTAATAAAGCATATTTTGTGAGTGGAAACAGGTAACCAAATCAGTCGACTCTATGCTGAGATTTTGTTGACATGACATTTTACGTTTCTCAAACCAGAAAAAACATAATGAAACACTCATTATCATACAGTACACTCGAAATACTCGGCATTTTTGTCAGCATTAACCTGTCTACCATTGAGTTTGTATCCAGCGGTGGTAATGTCTGACCTCAATCAATCCACAATACCGCGCAACCATCTTTTATTATCTTTGGTGAGTAATTGCTTCATATCTACCGGTCACGGATGCACATTGAGATTCAGGAAATTTCCTGTTGAAGCTAGTCACTACTGAGCACATAATAATTGTTAGTATGTTGTTGAAGAGATTGTCGTCTGGAAGTTAAAAATTCGCGAGATTCCAAAGGTCCTTTCTTCATGTTTTAGGGAAATTCAATCATCTCTACACGTCCGTAATGACATACTTTCATCGTTAAACCTTTCCCAATATCACTGATCCGTCTACTACTTAGATCCTTTTGCTATTCTTCTTGAAAATTTCATCTCACTGCTTTTTATGGTTTGATAAAATGTGCTCTTTTTTGTATTATACATACTTTAACTATGTGTGATTGACGACTGACTTAGTGTTTCAATACATTCTTATGTAAATGTATATGTTAGTTAGTTGTCGATGTAATTTATCTCAAGTTCAATACATAAGCATATTTCATTGTTCTGAATGTATTGAAATCGTAGTACTAAAGGAATGTCTCGTTATGTATGTATATATATAGCTATGAGCGAGATCACATGTAGGGGACAACCAATTTATTGTTTAATACAAGATTACATAATATCTTCGTACAATATGAGAATCATACATTAAGGACTTCAATTGCAACTCTTCCATCAATTGCCCATTACATTCTGTATTATTCGTTCAATTCACAATTCCTTTCTATCTGCCTTTTTGTTTTCGTCAACTCGATCTTCTTAGCCTTCCACTGTCATACCCTTCACTTCTGACTAGTGTTACATACTACTTATGTTGAAAGATGTAAGTAGCATACACCACAATATAGACATAAATCAAGTTTACATCTTATGTTCATTAGATATACTTTGTCTCATCACAGTTTTTCACAACTAAAGTGCTAACTATCTTTCATGTTGTTAACTTTGTTCATGCAGAATCATTGTTTGCTCTTCCTTTTTCTCAGTTGCATATCATTCAGGTAGCAGTTTAAGAAAATTTCCTAATCGAGCTATCGCTAATCATACTGGTCGAACTGTACTTTTAAAAGCTAATCTAGTGGATATTGGTAATCAGTTCATTCAACATGATTCCATGTTTTTAAAGTCAGAATCAGTAACATCATTGGAAAGTGATAAAATCCTTGGTAATTCTGAACCAAATTTACGTTTAAAACCAATAATTGATAAAGATCCAACACCAACTATACTTGGTCTATGGACTCCTATCGTTGAAAATGTAATTAGTGAAATGGGACGTTTGTCAATTTATGGAGATTCGGATTGTTTAAGTTCTACGCATTTAAATTCAAGTAATTCGTTTGTTCGCTATTGTTATTCCATGATTCTTTCACCTACAGATAACAGTAAATGAAATGGTAAAGTGTATATGAGGTGAAACAAAAGACAGACATTCGAAAAGGGATTTCACCTCAAACGGTGAATAAATATGCCTAAAATAATAGTATATGTGGATATATAATTCACAACGCTAGTGTTATCTTCTGCGGTCTGATTCATTGACGATATACACTTCGTGCGGTCAACCAGACCTACTGTGCAGGTGGATGAAGTAAAATGAATAGAAAGTTTTGATAATCAAAATGAATTTAAGTGTGCACAAATCATAAAACTTTACGCATATTTCTCCTCCCTTACCCGAGATGTCCACATATAAGCGGAGATCTTGGATAGGAAATAATTTGTTTCCTCCATTAATGTTCCTCATATTTCGATTTCTCACCGTTCGACCTTGAGTTGGTATGACGTGTGCGAACTCTCCCCACCTTTGACTGTACCTGGGCATTCCAGTGCATCTGATATCCTCGTAATACACCGGTGTTGAATAACTTCTTCCATGTTGACCTAAAAGATCGAGCGTTTCTGCAGAATCTCTTGAAAATTAGAGCAGTTGAAGTAATATCATTATAACTCTTTCCATTCCCCTGATATCTTGATCTTCACGCAAAATAAATTCATACACACTCTATGCCTAATTATTATTTTTAATTAACACTGCTATGGATTCAACTACTTTATGTTCAGTGAATATACGTTTTCCATTTTAAATTGATCATTAAATTATTGAGTTTGCTCTAATGATAACTACTTCACTTTACACGGTAAAAGGATCATTCAGTCAGTCACAACGTAGAACTTCATACGTACGTACATCAGTTCGAGTTGCCATATCACATTAACACAGAGATGAAGTTGTCGATTCAAATCCCATAGTAGTAGAAGTAGTAAGAGTATAAGCATTATGTGAAAGATTAGGGTTTGAAGAAATTATTGAAGAAGCATAATACAGTGAAATAAATTTGGAAAGACAAAAAGGATAGGGACATAAGGAATTCGGAAGATTAGAATTTGGTAGAACACAGAGAGTGGATGCACCTTCGCCATTGCAAACGATTCAAGGTCTCTAAGCATTGATTGCTATCATCTCGCGAATTCCAACCAGGTGGTCTACACCTACCAACATGGCTCAGTCCACTTGTAAGCGACTTCAGGGATTTATGCCACGTTTTGGTCTGGCCGACCCTAGCTTTCTTCCAACCTACTCCTACACCATAAAACATTTCACGTCGGGGCAGTCGGTGGTCGGGCATACGTAACACGTGTCCCAGCCATCTCAACTGATGAAGTTTCACTACTTCATCAATCGATTTGCCATCCTTACCTAGTACCCGTTTCCTAACAACTGCATTACCTACCCGGTTGTTTGCAGGATATACGAGCAAAGTTTCGAAGACACCTATGATCGAGTACTAGTAGCCTACGAATATCCTCTACTCTTATCGGCCATGTTTCACTGCCATAAAGTAGTATGGAACGAACTGCTGCACAGTAAACCAGTCCTTTGGTTGATAAACGGAAATCTCGCCTACGCCATAAATGACGCAAGCTGGCGAAATCTAGACAAGCCTTCTGTATCCGTGCTGAGATTTCGTCAGCACGGATCACAGATTTTCACTGATTATATATCATCAATAAAACAAAGACAGTGACCGAGTATGCTAACTCGATGTATCAGTGTATATAAGTTACTATATTCCCTAGTGTTTAATCGCAATGCACAAGCAACAATCTCACTAACTCTAAATCAGTATAATTCAAAAACTCACAAAATAATAGAACTTAATTGCAAATAAAAAAACATCATAACGAAAACAGAAACTCCCATCATATGCATAACTATGTGGTTTATAATGCATAACAGAACAATAGGTATATAATAATTCGTCACCTACAAGAACGATCAAACACATAATATATATAATGGTAGGCGACTGTGGAATAGTCCTTAAAGTCCTGTCTTTCATACTTATCTAATGTACATCGCCAGTATTTAAGTCCCTTTTAAACGGCTTTATTTCCTTTTTCTTTCTGTAAATATAGATTGCTTTTGGCTGTTAGATGCATTGCTTCAATTCTCAACCAGTAGTATGGGACGAATCCCACGAATTTTAATTGAACAAATGTTTACACCGAATACAGAAATTTGGATTGATTCCTCACTGACAGCACCTTTACGCGCAAAAAGTTTGTTCCATCCACCTTTTTATAATATTTGCTTTCTTCCCTAATTAAAAGCAACTGACCAAGCGTTTTCGTGTAGGTTGGTTAGCTACTGAGCCAACTTTTAGAGTAGTTTGGACAGTGATTCAATATTTTGTTGCTTAAATTCTCTATATTGTTTCAAATACTGCTTCCGATTCCCTATATCAACATCAATATAATGTTATTCTACTAATCAAACTGAAGCATATTGAACGTCGTTACTCTTGGTTCTTTATTAATCTACAGTTCAGTATTCTTATTAGTTGGTTACCGTTTGCGCTAGATTTCATTTGTTTGTGTGGTTGTACAGATTCCGGCATTTTGGAAGGATACTTATAAAGGAATAATATATTTGTAAAATCTCAGCGAATGAATTTGTAGTAAATCCAACGTTTCGCCTGGCAATCTGGTCGAAGCTTTTTCAAGGAATTATAATCAAACATCAAAATTATCGAATATAAATAGGTACACGGTTCTTATAAAGGTAACTGAAGAAAGTAGATTGAAAGGAATCTCGCTAGCATGTTATTGTTTGTAGCACAAAATGACATTCATAAATGAACTAACTCTAGTGGTTATTGATGCATTAGCTTCGTACATGTTTTTCGTCATTGACAGAAATCTATGAGGTATAGAGAGATCTTTCTTTTATGATTGACCTTTCCTGATTCCCTTATTTGTTTATGCAAAGAAACCGCATCGCTCCAAATGCTGATTGTCTTAGAAAAACATGTTACTGCCGTCACACTCTAGTATCGTCGATAGTACGGATTCACACGTAGACTTTAATTCATTGCTCTTAGTCTTATAGCTCATCAACTGACCTAGTTCATATGACAGAACAATAAAATACCAAGTATTTTAGCCAAAATAACTAGATTTGGTTATCTTCTTTATGTAAACTTGACCATCACCAAATTATTCTCGTTGAACGGCGTTACTCTTCGTTCCTTCTTTAACTAGAGTTAAGGATTTTTATTAGTTAGATACCGTTCGCGCTAGATGTTATTTGTTTGTGTGGTTGTATAGGTGTGTGGGCGTTTCTCACTATCCAGATTCCGGCATTTTGGAAGCATACTTATAAAGGTAACTGAAGAAAGTAGATTAGAAAGAATCTCGTTAGCATGTAATTGTGTGATTGTAGCACCAATGATAATGAATATATCTTGATTACAATCACGATTGAATTGGATCTGTGTTTATGCACTTCTCCCTTTCTATTTTATTTTACAAGATTCTCAATTAAATCTATATAGTAATGTGTTAAGAAAAGAATGGAATTTATCTACATTGAATACTAGTTATCTACCAATTGAAGCTTATTATTTTGTTGAATTATGTTATATCGCTCCAAAAGCTTCTATATTGATAGATAATGGTAAACCAAATGAGTAAGTCTTAATTATCGTTTTCGTTTCTTCGTGAAGTTTATATGGGTTTAACAATTACATTGAGTAGTATCAACACACATACACACCCATTGAGTTTTTCAATAAATACTCGGATAATATTATAATGAATGGCTTTATTCAATATAACATTTCGGGGACAATATAGAATTTTCTGTACGTAGCACTTCAACTAGTTTCTTTCTGTTATTTCGTGCTCCATCCTGACAATGAATACTGAGTAATATCCAGTTAGATGTTAGCAGTTCAGCAATCAATACCTGAATTATATTGATTCTTGTCAATACACATCGCCAGCCAACATAATATCTGTTTTGTAACTTGTCCAGCGAAATGTTGTTCACTTCTCATAAACACCGCTTATTTAGATATATCTAAATGGAAGGAACAGGTAACCCAGTTATATTCAAGCAGGCCGACTACAATCACTTTCAATGTATTCTCAAGCAATCGAAGTATTTCGATAAGGACTGAATATTTAATGTCATATTTTTGAGAACAGAACTTTTCTTTGTTGTTCAGATGCATATTTATCAAGCCGATCAATGCTGATTGGCAGAAATAATTCAGATAGTTAAAACATTTATTTTTTTATTTTATTTAAACACATGAATATTGGTACAAGGAAGCACCAGATACATATGCGCCATACAAATCTCATACGATTTGCTTGAGGGCTGTGATACTGTCCAGGTGCCCAAACTGAACCAGGTGGTTTTCTTAGGGGCCCACACCCGGAGCCGTTGACCGAAAGATCTGATCCACAAGGCAGTGGAGCATCGTGAGGAGATGCATTCCCATGGTAGCCGTGACCAACGATTGGTTCATACGCCATTTGTCCCTTCAGGATACTGGAGCCTATGTGCACCATTGGTTTGGAATCAGGGTTTTCCAACTCCCCTAGGTGGACCCTCCGTGTCCACCAACCCGATTAAAGCACCGGACATTCGCTTTTCGTCCTCTCACTTTCGTAAACAACAGTAATGCCACGAGAAGGCAGTGGGTAGGACTTCTCTGGCAGAGGCTATATATTTGCTGGCCATGTGAGAGCATTTGCAGAGGGAGAACGGACTCTCCCCACTCTCGGCCGTACTAGGGCATTTGGGGGCAGTTAAAACATTATTAATTAGAAGTTGTTCAATGTTCCTTCAATTAGGGTGTTCACTAATTATATTCTGCCTTTTGGAATGAAATATTGTAAGAGAGAATTTTGGGCTGTTTATTATGTTAACTCTGTTCCACATATTTTTTCTAGTCCCCTTAAACCTAAACCATTTCGCAAAAATATAATGCTCATTTACTTCATTTAGTTTATTCGACAATTTTGAAATAATTTCCGTTAGATTTCAATAAACGGACTAGGTATGTAATCATATCATGAATATTTCTAAGTCCTAGCAGTATAAGTGGCGTCACTCGTGAAATAAGGCAATAATACTCCCATATACGACTCGCCAACTCTCGTATGTCTCTGCATTAAGTGTGTACGTTCACACTGAGACTTTAATATCAGCAATAAAAAAAATTACAAACGCTTAGTAAGAATTTCTCCAATCCTCTTTCAACAAGTCAATGAATATGTGAACTCAATAGCTTAGTGGATAACGTGTTGCCCGATTGAAACGATAACTACTTTGTTACAATCTAAACGTGAACATTGATATGCACTGGAATCCATGCACATCGATCGGATAAGTCTCCAAATCTCCCCCAAATGCCCTGGTACGGCCGAGAGTGAGGAGAGTCCGCTCTCGCTCTCGAAATGCTTTCACATGGCCGCGCGAATATATAGCCTCTGCCAGGGAAGTCCTACCCACTGCCTTCTCGTGGCATTACTGTTGTTTACGAAATTGAGAGGTCGAAAAGCGAATGTCCGGTGCTTCAACTGGGTTGGTGGAAAAAGCGAGTCCACCTAGGGGAGTTGGAAAACCCTGATTCCAAACTAATGGTGCACATGGGCTCCAGTATCCTGAGGGAACAAATGGCGTATGAATCAATCGTTGGTCACGGCTACCATGGGAATGCATCTCCTCACGATGCTTCACTGCCTTGTGGACTAGACCTTCATGTCAAAGGCTCGGGGTGTGGTCCCCTTCAGAAAACCACCTGGTTCAGTTTGGGCACCTGGACAGTATCACAGCCCTCACAGATTTGTGCGTCGCATATATATCTGATGCTTCCTTGTACCAATATTTATGTGTCTAAATAAAAACAAAAAATAATAAGTCCCCAAATCAGATGAAATTTACTTCTTGGATTGTAAGACATGGATTGCCGTATCATTAGATCTGCTTAATCAGATAGATGACAGGAAGTCTGTATAAAATACCCTGTCACTTAGCATAACCTCATCATTTCAGTTATAATTTTGATTATTCATGGGTAAATTAACAGTAATATTTCTCTTACATTTTCCAGATCATTCTATCATCCACAAAACTTATTGCTCTATCCAGTAGAATTATATAATCCATCAAAACAATTATATACTACTCATTATTGTCATTCATCCATTTCAATGTTACCATCTAATAAGAACTTATTCCAATTCATGAAACCGAAATTGTTATTACAGTCTATTAATGACTTTATACAACTTGATATGTATATGTCCTTTAAAAATCATAAATTCAATTTCGTGTACATCATTATACTACTTATAGTAGTGTGCTATTTTTGTAAACGTGGTATCATGTTTTGCGGTGACAGTGTATTATATGTAACAGGATGGATTTTCTGTATGATTCGATATGTGATGGTGCGTATTTTATTTCGTTTTTATAATTTATGGCGTACTTATATTAGTGATTGTTCACAAATGAGATTCAGCAAGATAAATGCTACTAATAGCTCTACTACTACTACTACTACTAGTAGTAGTAGTAGTAGCAGTAGTACTACTGTTGAAATATCACGACTGTCACCATCTATTGTTCAGAAAATTAGCCAACAGAACAGATCTAATATACATATATGAGTATATAGAGGACAAATAATTGGTCAGCTTGTGAATTGCATATTCCTGTATTGATCGATTACGGTTTTGTGTAGGTCAAGTGATTTGATCTTCCAATGATTTCTTTACATCATATCCCTTTTTCTCAAATGTATATTAAGTTCATCCATGTATTGTGTTTGATTTCAATTCATTTGTGTATCCCTTTTCGCTTTCATATTTTCACCTATTTTGTAAATAGAAATGTGTTTCGGTATAAAATGATACTTGTTTTTCAAAGTATAACGATATATATCGCAGCATTCAATATTCCATTGAGAAACAAGGTACTTTTTGTAAGTAGTATGTATTTGTTAATCAATCAGTTAATTATATTTGATTGAATATAATTAATAAATGATTCCACGTCAAACAATAGACATGCATGAAACTGACTAGCACAACGTACTCAGAGGGCTAAGAAATGTGTCGATGATAACAGAAATTTGTTTAGTTACAATAAACTTGACGAAGATAATTTGGAGAAATTAGCCTACGCATAATTTGATCCTGTATTTGTATGGATTAGAAGGATTCGTAGGTGGCTTTGAGCTGTGTTATGTACTGCTAAACAATGATGTTCAGTTACGTTAACAAACGAAGTGATCTTTGAAATACTAAATGTAAACGTCATGTATTTATCATTGTATCACTTTTGCCGTATCTCTAGTTGAACGGAACCAGCAATCAGATTACAAATATTCACAGAAAAGCATTCAAATCTTCAGTTATATAACAATTTATTAGGATCAGATTATTCAACGAGTTCAGTGAATGTCTAAATGAATATTATTTCTTTGAATTAAGAGCTAGACTCGTACATTAATTTAACGAACTGTAGTCATTAAATGAAACTCACAAACATACCGATCACTACTATGTGTCTTATCAAAATGAACAAATATTATGAATCACGCTAATATAATAGGATAATAATGTCATTCAATTGGCAGGTTACGTGAAACGGTGATAGTTTACAAGCACATCAGACGACATTGACGTAGTGGCCGTTTCAGTAACGAGTTGATTGGTTGATTATAAACATAACTCACAACGCATAAACGATTGTACATATTAGTTTACATGTATGTACAAACACAGGTAGGAAATGACAATCATGATCTGCAAGTAATAGTGATTGGACACCTGGTGAAGTGATTACAATGGGAAAGAACTCCGATGGGTAAATAGGGGAATAAGATGGACAGACATCTTCTCCTAGTGAGAAATATTCAGTTAGAACGGGTCAAAGTGTTTAATTTCGTAGCTGAATTCATGAGTCCATATAAGCTAGACCGTATTAGTATGTGACTCATCACTCGTGCTTGTCCACTAACTTGAACTCGGTATTCGAACTATCTAAACCACTGGACCGGCATCCAACGGTGTCAGCGTCAAACTTCCATCAGCCTATGAATTTAACTATTCAAATTATTACAATATCCACAAACTCTGATCATATGGTTTATATCAATCAATTAAATGAAATGAGATATTCATCTGTCCTTATATTTATTACGGCAAAGTAATATTATGCAATGATCGAACTCCTTGTCTTTCCATCTGAATAGTCTTCAAAAATATCAGTAGTATAGGCAAACATTCATTTATTTTCCCTCACCAAAACACTTTTCTTAACTCGTTCACAACCTTATTCGAAGATTTAAATTCCTTTGTTACAGAAATTGTTGTTCGTGTTGTCTAGTTCATTTGTCTAAATCTATTTATTTTAACTGATCTATTTACTTGTTTTCTCGAACAACTGAAATCTACACCCGACATTAAAATCATCTATATTTCATCTTAGATGATCACTTATTACGTCGATCTTATTCGCTAATTCGAATAACGGATCTTTAGATAGCTGCTGCTGTTCTAGCAGCAAATAGAAAAAAATTGACAATTCTTTAAACCTAATCCCAGTATATTATGACATAGGGTCTGTATACTGTGACTAAGACTATGCAGTCATTCATACGTATCGTCGTGTGAAGTTCACATAACTGCCAATAAACAAGTGTGATTATTTTCTATTGTTGTTCGAATTAAGGATTATGTATATTTGGAATACAAAATACTTGATGTGATGGATATAATTTTTATTCAACAGTTTTGCTAAGTCTAAACTAATTGATCAATAGGAGTGACGGAATTCCTGATTGTATCTGAAAAGTAATAAAGTAAAAATTTATCATATTTAGATTGTTCATGATTATTGAGAGTGATATCATACTAAGTAAAAAGAAAGAATTCACGGCAACGACTTTCCTGTTCAGAAGATCACTGCAACATTTCATAATAGAAATGTGATTGTTGGTCTTTATTGTTTAACCGTCAACATGATAATTTACAATCAAAATCACGAATGAATATGATACTGTTTAAAGTCTACATACTAAGAGGTTTCTCATATACCTGGAGCTGCCGTTGAAAACATTTTGGTGAAACATTAGTTGTTTGTATGTAAGTAATCCATTGGGTAATGTTTCACACACATTTCAAGATAATATCAAACTAGTTCGTACAAATATATACATATATATGTCATATCCCGATCAGTAGAATTATTGAGTTTCGTGCCTTGACTCAGTATAAGCCACTTCTTCAGAGTATAAATAATCAAATTAAATTATCGCAAGTTTAAATAGTGCAGAGAAACAAAGCTAGCCACCATTTATCGTGCCCCATAATGATTGTGGCTTAAGGCAGTAATAAATTATTCCGCACAGGATGTACATGTGTCAATAAGAGACTAATCAACTGGAATGCTAAACATGAATGGGAAGTTTCAAAAGAATAACACAAAGTGAATTGAAGCTTCACTCCATTCAACAGGCTAGTGACCGCCTAGATTCACTAGCTTGGTGGATAACGCTATGGCGTTTGAAGCGTGTTTTAGTGTGAAAATCAACACTAGGATTCAGGTACATCCAGACGACAAGTTCGAAGTAGAATGAAACGTGAGTCCTAGATTCCACTGGTAACCACCATCCATCTCTACACACGTGGTTGCATACAACTGATGGGAAACCACGAAATATAAGGAATTCATATTATTCGACATCAAAAGCTTACTTGGCTTTATTCAAATTCATAAAGGGTAGCAATAGCATGAAATTCGCAAATACTGTCTATACATGATCTTGAACACGAAAATTTTTCTTTACAATTAAATTTGCTTAATAAATTGATTTATTCATGCTCTTACGCTTTTGAAATACTTTGTTCTTGGATTAATTTCCATTTTCAGATCGACGATCATCTAATGAATGATAGAAACATACATAGGTAGTCAACAGGGTTTCATACTTGCAGACAAATCACATCTATGCAATATAATGATGAATGATTAGATACTAGATCAAATGACAATGTAAACGAGCAAAAAGGTTGTTGGAAACTATTAGATTAATATTTCGGGATGGTCGAAAATTCGCAACGATTGATTTGAACAGTTCATACGGTGATTCTTATCACATACTTGATCTAAATAAGCTCAATGTAGTATCAATAACGTGAGTGAAAAAGACTTATCGTCTGAAGAGATCGAGATGACAAACTAACACAACGTTGTGAGGAATAACGAATTAAAGACTGAAGATAAATAGATTGAATTCCTTAGCTAACAGCTAAGAAAATTAGAATTCACTTAAATACTAGCCCGAATATCAACAAACGAAAAACGGGGATGCGCACTGTTGAGGAGTACTACGATGGGACGAAACCGCCCTTCACTGCTTCCAGGTTTTTCATGGTGATCTAGCTTCAATCGACTCATGATATAAACTATTATAAAACGTTATTGCGAAATTCAGAAAACTGAAGTGAATCCAATGAGCAATGATGTGGAAAATTATTCGAAATAGCTCGAAAAATTAAATGCAACAGTCCGAATTGTCTGGGTAAGCATTTGTTAACACTCAGCAAAATTTAAGACAACATGAATCGACGAAGCTTATGATGATCAATCAAGTGATCTGCATTATCATAGCGTAACTGTTGAAGAATGAGATTCAGTCGTCTAGAGAAATATGGAGTTTTGAGTAGTTCACATCAAAAACAATGTTGCTTAAAGAAATCAACGAGAATCCATTCAATGAATTTCGAGAAATGACAATGTTAAATATCAACTCTATTCAAATGTCATATGGTTACTGAAAGGCTCTCAAATATTCAGTAATCTATCTATGTTTGATAGCAAATACGTTGGACACTGGGATATGGTGGATTTGTTAGTTTCTAGTACCGTATCAAGCTCACATGTATCATTTTCGCCTCTAGACAAATCATTTCGTTCATTTTCTTGAGTCATATTTAGAACTTGTTCATTATTCTCGTGATAACACTTTGACTGTATTTTATGAGTCTATGAGTATACATAGCCTACACCATTCGTTATATCTTTAGTTTATTTTTACCCGGTTATAAATTTTCAGTCACGCTGAACGTAGTCTACATATGTCGGGTAATGTAAGCAAACACTTGAGAGCTTTAATTATAATGATTAACTGAGTTCCAGCATCGATTTACCGAATCATAAAAAGCTTGAAATGAATCATGATGCAAACAAAAATTTACTTACGAACATTAGGGACGGCATCGCACCTATTTTCAATGAATTCCACTAAAAGGTACAGAAATCAAAGTTGTCAGATTCGTCATAATGTCAATATTGTCATTCACTCAAAGGATTTATACTTACGCAAGTCGTTCATGTTTGGACACAGGAGTCCCATATCAGAATCTGAATAATTTATAGAAGAACACCGATTAGAATTTTCATAATGTTTATATGAAGAATATGAGTGGTTGCTTCGAATTGCTTAGGGTGATGAATTTCATCAGAAAGCAAATATTGAAATGAAGCAAATTTAACGTGGATTAAAATTTACGATTTCCCACCTCACACGGAGTTTTTATACTTCAAGGAGTCATGACTAATCTGTTACTTAATTTCAGAGAGGACATGATGACAAGCATCAATTTTATACAAGCGATACTCGATCATTCAGATGGTAACAAATGTTGTAAACCCTCTATCAATGTTCGATGTTCAGTAAGTTAGAGACTAATAAATGTTGACAGTAGTTAGATTATGAAAGTTCGTCTGTTCTGTGTCTGATGTTACTGAGTAGAATATCGTGAAAGTCGGTATCGGTGTGCTCAGCCTAAAACTGTTTCAAGTGTACACTCAGGTCGTGTTTATAGTTGATGTGTGTCCACTGTGAATGCATTCAAATAACAATCATTTCTGTATCTCGCAAATAGATAAATGATACTTAATTGCAAATAAATGTACTTAGCATAAAATTAAAACTCGGTAGGTGTGTTCAATTCATAATCAAGTGTGTGACTATCAACAAAACACTC